GCAGTTTTTGGCATCCCTAGGTGGGCCAAATATTGTATTGCCCCTCCCTCGGACTTCTTGTTCTGTAACACTAATGCTTTTACAGTTGTTGTTTTTTTAAAGAGACACACCATTTTAAAGCACTGTTAAAAAATGTAACAACTCCTCCCCCACTCACACCCCATTTTGGTTTCCTTTTGTATTCATCCAAGGGGATTATTCGAAACAGCACAGAGGTAAAAACAGCCAAAGGCAGTGACACAACGGATTCTCAGAGCAACACATCTACCTTAAAAACAACGGCCAAATGTGCCACTTGTCTGGAATCCTGTGAAAGGTAGCATGAAAACACTCTTCACTGTTACTCATGTTCCTTGATGTCCCGACTCATCAGGAGAGCCAATTAATGTGTTTAACTAGCTGTTTTTCTTTAATAAACACTGTAACATCAGTATATGCATAATCAGTTTATAAACAATTTTAGGCATAAAAATATTTCACATTGAGGAGATGCTGAGATTTTACTAACAGTAGCCAGTATTTTCTAGATGCAAATTCTATTAACATTGTCAAAAATAAATTAACATCATGAAATAAACTCACAGAAGTAAATATTTATGGAGACCTTGCAGAAGAATATAAAATTTGAATACTTTTCACTTAAATATTTGAAAAGATATATAATCAAATGAAAAACAAGCCTGATCTACACATAACTGAAATCATACACCATGAAAATGAAATAGCTCAAATTGTTACAAAGGTATTTCTTTTTCTTTTCTTTTTTTCCTTAAATTTATTGAGGTGACATTGGTTAGGAACACTAGCAAAGGTATTTCTAAAAAATTGGGCATAATTATTAATTATTTTATTAATAGACCATTAATAACACATACCAGTAATCTAATTATTGCTAACATCTAACAAGTACGCTATATTTTACATTACTGAAAAGGGAGTTTATTTGTTACTGTGTCAATTTACTTATGAAGTGGAAAAAAAACTTCTACTTCAAAAGTCTACTTATGGATATCCAGAAGAATAGAAGTTTTAATGCCTAAAGTTTAATTTATTAAACTTCTAGTTTTCTTACCTACCACTGAGCTAGATACTCTGAAGAACAAAATACGATGTCAGATGCACACTAATGAAGGCTCTTTGATTAGTTAGAAAGACAAAATATACATGGGACAAAAACATTTCATGGAACATCCACTAAGACAAACTCTGAAGCCAAGCACCCTTATGATCAATACAGAAAACAAAATAGTGTAACTTGCTATTTATGCAAAGAAGCAGTTACACAAAGAGGCTCAGTATGTCTAAGGAGTTGGTATCCAAAATATATAAAGAACTCACAAGTCAATGGCAAAACCCCCAAACAATCCGGCTACGAGAATAGGCAGAAGACCTGGTCAAACATTTTTCCAAGGAAGACGCACAGAGGGCCAACTGGTACATGAGAAGGTGCTGGACATCACTAATCAGAGAAGGGCAAACCCAAACCACAGTGACATACCACCTCATTCCAGTCAGAATGACTACTGTCAAAAAGACGAGAAATAACAAGTGTCAGCAAGGATGTGGGGAGAAGAGAACTCTTGTACACTCAGTGGGAGTGCAAACTGGCACAGCCACTATGCAAACAGTGTGAAGTCCCCTCCAAAAATTAAGAATGGAACTACTATGACCCAGCAGTGCCACTTCTGGGTATTTACCCAAAGGAAATAAAAACACTAAGATACCAGCACCCCATGTTCACTCAGCATTACTTATGATAACCAATATATGGAAACAACCTAAGTGTGCTTCAATGAGTGAATGAGTAAGAATATATTTTGACTAACAATAGCTACCATGAAATACAAATAACACAGCCAAAAGTTTCAAATTCAAAAAGCAACCACTAGTAATTAAATATTAAAACCATCCAAGGACCCTAGGACTTAGGATTTTTAGATCTCTATTTTCTAAAGCAAGTGCTTTTTTTCTCCCCACCCCCGTGCCCATGTTTTAGTCTGTATTTTGCACAAGTCACTTTGTAAAATATTTCATCCAATCATTTCTTAACCAGACCACCTGTAGAAGGTTTAAACAATATCATAGAGCAAAATTAAAATTTAGGGAGTCTGTCGTTATCAGTTACGTCAGAATGTGAGTAGAATCCATGTTCTAAGACTTCAAATGCAACAAGGCACAGATCTCACTCCCGGTATAAAATCTCTGTCAAATTAATCCTAAGCTGTCCACAGAAATTGCAAACACATGCATTTACAATTCTCAGACCTCTTCATTTGAGTATCAGCAACAATATTAATAGGCCACCATTTATCGAGAGCCCACCACTTGCCAGGCGTTTCACGTACATTCTCCCTGATTCACCTGAAAACGGATGAATCACCTCAGAGGTGAAATGGCTGACCACAGCTGCAGAGGTAACAAGTGTTGGGATTCCGATCTAGGTCCACGTGGTTCCCAAGGTTAAAGCTTGGCTCACCCAATGCTCACAGTGTGTAACAGTGGAACACTGACACAAGTTTCGGTAAGTCTCTGCTTCTTAGAGCTGCTAAAGCACCAATGTCTGATGTCTGTCTGTCTCTTCCCACCTTGCTAGCGCTACACAAATCATTCTCTGAAATAGGACAAAGCAAGCCCCATGCCTGAAGTCTATGCTTTGTGAAGTCTGTTTTTTGAAGGCTACTTTGATGCTTCTACAGTTAAATTGTTTTGAAGAACACACAACAGTACCTTCCTTACACAGAATACCTTTTCAGGGACGTTTCAGTAACTGTGATACAGAAAACTACTGCTTTCCTCTCAATACCTCTCAGAGGTAACCTCCACAGAAAGTTTCAAAAGCTAAAAAAACAAGGCAAGCTTAGCTTTTTGTATTAAATGCTCTGAAACTAACCTAAACAATAAAGGAATACAGAAATGGCCCTGTCCAGATGGCTCAGTTGGTTGCAACATCGTCCCATACACCAAGACTGCAGGTCTGATTCTTGGCCAGGGCACATACCTCGGTTGCAGGTTCAATCCCTGGCTGAGGCATGTACAGGAGGCAACCAACCTATGTTTCTCTCTCTCTCAAATCAGTAAGTAAAAAAAAAATGTTTTAAAGAAAGGAATGATTTAAAAGGGGGCTCTCTAAGTATCTCATTAAATACTAGGTGGTAGCATTTATTTCAAGTATGAATTTCATGCCGGTGAAGAAAAAATATCATTTCAATAAAAATTCTGCTCCACCAGCTCTGCTAATTTCACAGCTCATCTGCCTCTAAAGCGTCTTCACCAATGGTCCTTGTTCAAAAAGGATCAGGTGCTAACTTTAGGAATTTTTAAATAATATCTGTTTAGAATAGTTGTATGTGGTCACTTATTAGATTAAAAATCAAAGGCAACTTTCACTGAATTGATTTGTGCTTATCATTTCCTTTAGGAAAAATTCATTTTATAGTTTGCTGGCAAAATAGGAGACTCAAAATTGATTGCCTTTTATCGTTTGATGTTAATTCTTGAAGTGTCAGTCATAGGACTATACCTGATGCAACCACGTTGCTGGTTCAAAAGGGAACTTTATCACCTTACACCAAAGGCATTTATAAAATCAACTGACGGGAGGGATTAACTGCTGTAATCATGCTGCTCCCAAAGCCAGGAATTAGAAGAAAATCCAGCTGAATTATGATAATCAAAAGAATTTAAAAGAAAAGAACAGCTACTAGCTGTTTTTTGTTTTTTACTAAGCTTGTGATGACGTTTTATTTTCTCTTATTCCCACTCATCCTTTTATGCTACCACTGTTTTATTAACATCAATGAAATGAGCAGATCAGAGAACAGTGGCATGTGTCCACAGAGTTACAGCATGTCATGGATAGAAGGAGTTCCAAAAGCCATTTAATGTAACTCTTTATCCATGTCCCCAACCGCGTAGGAACATTTCCTACCTATTAAAGTAAGCCACTCCATCTTTAGATGACTCAAAGTTTTCACCCAGAGAACTGAAGCCTGCATCGCTATTGCTTGCTATATCACTTACTTTAAAGCTTAAAGTCATGAAAAGCAAATCTCACCTTTTACAAGAAATCCTTTGAATGTCTAAAGAGAGTGACTCTTTCTCCAACTGCCTCCACTTCTTCATATGCTCCTGATGTAAAATGCTATTGAGTCTCAAGTCTATCTTGGGCAAGCTACAAAAAATTAATTTGTATGCATATCTAAAGTTATCTTCATTTTTAAAAATAAAATTTTAAACTCTGAGTTACACTCTGTCAGACAAAAGACTATTTTTTAAAGATTTATTTATTTTTAAAAAGAGGAGAAAGAAGGGAGAAAAAGGGGTAGTGAACATCAATGTGTGGTTGTCTCTAGTACACCCCCTACTGGGGACCTGGCCCGCAACCCAGGCATGTGCCCTGACTGGGAATCGAATCATCCACGCTTTGGTATGCAGGCCCGCACTCAATCCACTGAGCCATGCCAGCCAGGGCAAAAGACTACTTTTAATACTATTTAAATAACTGATTCCCTTTAAGTGTCTCTAATGTATCCCAGTGAAATGTCTACATGGCTATGTGTTAACTAAAAATTTTAGTAAAAATTTAAAATACCTTTTTTTTTATAAAGTTCTAGAGCTTTGTTCTGCAGTGTTTTTGAATAACTATGAATTATAAATTCCTAAGTTATACAGATGATGATTATCCTTCCATAACTCTGACAACTTTCAGCCAATGTCAGACAAACAAAAAAAGTTAAATATTCTAAATCTTCAAACAGAAGTCAGAAACCTAGAATTTTAAGGGCATTTTAGCCATCTGATTGCTGTAAGGTCCTGAGATAAACTGCATAATTTATTTCAAGATGCTCACTTTGAATGTCAGTAGAAGCTATCTACAATATTTCACACATCCTTCATGTATCCAGTGGTTCAGTAAACTACTTGCCACCCCTGTTTTTGAAAGTTTAAGACATCATCTAAATTTACACTGACAAAACAATTAAACATTCACAATCACTTACCCAAGACTCGTGGTATAAAACTGTTAGCAGATACATTGCATAATCATAATTCTGTCTCTTTAAAGGGCACCTTCAAAACAGAGAGAGGGAGGAAGTCAAAATTCCAAAAATCCGGTATACAGAATTATATGCCAAGTATATAAATACTTAATACAAAGGATAACTTATATCTGGGTATTCTGTATCTGTTCTGGGAAAACTCAGTTCTTAGAATAATATTAGTCTATGTAATTCACTGTTTGAAGATACAGAAAACTTAAAAAAAATTGTATTTAGGGTATCTCTTTGCTTTCATAACTAATGAAGTTATTTCACCTGATGACAACTTTATGATATTTTAATATGATGTGTCCAAGTGTCCATCACTTCAGAGCTAAGAATCTGCTGGACAGCGTAAGCATATACACTTAATTCATTTAAAAAATAGAGACAGACCAATGATAAGTGCTAATCTAAACATTCATCTTGATTTTCCCAAAGCCAGTTCTTTTAAAAATGAACTACACTATGCAATGATATATTACTTCTGTTGTATTTAAAATAGAACTAATGACCTAACATTAGGTAAAACTTGTACATCAATATGAGATGGCATGTTTAATTTTTAGAATGCTACTCCTTCCAACCACTGCATAGGACGTGAGCCCAGCGATGACAACACCTCCAAATGCTCTGAAACGGACAGGGAAGGCGACAGCATGTACCCATCCTTGTGCTTTTCTCTTAAGGCGAGTCTTTTATATTTTGACATAATTTGGAAACAACCAAAGTATAATTCTAGAAATAAAATAACCATATAGTAAAAACATGCCCATAATCTTTCTTTACCTCAAATGACCTAATTTATAAATTCATAGAAGGTAAATTTAATACTGTTTTTATGAACTTCTATGCTAGCACTGAAATTCTGCTTATTTACACAAGTACCTTGGTAGATAAAATTTCCAGTTAATTGTGAACTATAAGATTTTTATACACTTTGACTTTGTAAAGCTTGTTTAAGCATTAATCACTAGCAAATCATACTGTTTTCTTCTAACACCTTCAGTAAATTTTAATACATAGATACATTAAAAACAAGGTGAAAAAAAGCGACAGCAATTTAACTCATCAAGGCAAGTTCCTCTATGTATACAGAGATCTCGACAACAGTAGACTAGTGTGAGGACACCAGAACTATAAATTAGACAACTTCTCTTGACCTAATAATGCTAACACAAGTTGACATAGAAGGCTACCCTTATTTTCAATGTCATTTGTTTAAAAAGGAGTGCAGGGGATGGGAGGACAATAAAACACACATGGCAGATAGGCTCAACTTTCCTTCCTTTACCTATCTGTTTTGATGGTAAGCACATCTGTGGTCTTGCAGTACCGCTCTCCTACAAGTTTAATAAGTTTCTTCTTTGCATGATCATCTAAATTCAAACTGGAAAGTTTAACCTTGAAATTACAAAAAAAAATTATTTGAAAAAGATTATTTCATATACTTCATTTAATACAAAAACAACAGTAATATTATTTAAATTAGCATTAAAATAAGCAAAAGGAAACCTTTTCAAACTCCTTTCTATACCGTGTTAGCATCTGGCCTGCATTAAGATCTTACTCATGGAAAAAAAGGGGGGAGCAAACTGTTTTGTGCTCTTTGAAAGTTCTGGGCATTGGTACCCTTCCTGAAAGAATCAATGGCATGTCTCTTAAATAAATGAAATTAGGGTGCTCATGAGTAGCATTACCTAATAGAATTAAACTCAATTAGTATTAGCAAAGCTGGAATATAGGAATACAGTAATTGTAAAACATAAGGACTTTAAGAAATTTCTACCATGCAATTATGAGGCCCATACCATGCCAACTAGTTTAGGGGCATTTACTTTAAAAGCTACAATTCTCTCACAGAAGTTGGAATATAGCATCAAAAGATCAAAACATTTGAAATAATATAGCCCAATATTACTCAAAATGACAATACTAGTCCCACAGGCTGCCAAGAAGAATCATTTCTTTAAAAGGGCTATGTGTGCTGAATACATTCAGGAAACGCTAAGTTAAATTAGGTTCTTTACAGCAGGATTTCTTAGAGGAGGTAATATGCTAATAAACATTGTGAAATGTCAAGATTCAGAGTTGTTATATAATGATTTCCAAATTTATTTGACCTCAGATTCCACTTTTCAAGGGACAATTCATGAAATTACTCTTCTATAAAACATATTTTGGGAAATGATAGACTAAATAAACACACTTGTTAATTTGCAGAGAATTATGGCATGGCTGAAGCTATTATCTAGAGATGAATAGGCTTGACACAGGAAAGTAAGTTAGACACTAGAATATAGTTAAGTAAGGTAAAACCACAGATTTTTCCATGGAGAACTGTAAGAATAAGAAAGAATCATAACTGTCTGAAGAAGAAAAAGGCTAAGATTTTGAAATCCCATTTCCTCCCTCTAGCTTCCATAAATAACCCTGCGCTCCCCTGAAGACATCACAGCAAAAGAACTTGCTATTTTCCCACAAATGCAAACACTTGAGGGTAAGAAAGATGTCTGTCTTGTTCTAAGCAATGGACTAGCACTTAAAAACCATTTAACACATATTTGCTGAATGTATACATAAGTAAAAACAAGACAGAATATACTGTTTTTTAAGCATTATGAATTTTATTTGAACTGGAGAAAAGAGAAAGCAAATAAATATAAAAACAATCTTAGCAGCCACAAGTACTAAGAACATTAACTATTAAATATCAATCCAATAGAAAGGTTATATGTTGAAGGCAATTTGAATTATCATAGTCCCAGAAAAAAATGTATTAACAACCAGGTTATCAGCTTGATGGATAAAATAAGCAATTTATGATAACTCTGATCATTAACAATATAAAGCATTATTTATAAGAAAATCCTAAAGTAGACTTACATTATGATCATAATTATGAAAAAAATATATATGCATATATACAGTCAAGAGAAAGAAGTGAATAGTTTGTACCTTAGGATAATGAAAATATAGACTTTTTTCCTTTTAAAATTCCCTTCAATGAAACCACGATGTTTAACAATAAATTTTAAAATCTACCATTTGAAAAACTGAAGTGTTCTAGATTTCTGTATGGGAAGTAGTCCAAAAAATGGCAGTAACACTGATCATTATAGTAACAACTGCTTTAAAACTCATGCTCACATTAACATTTTAATGTTCAAAAATTATATAGCGTTTATGCCAGAAACTCATAAATACTTCAGACGCAGCTGTGTGGTGCACTCACGCCATCTGCTAGCACTCAGAGGCCCTGCAGAACTGCAGTCTTTAACCTGGGCCACAATCGGATTCTGAAGCTGAATGGCATTCATCATCATTCTCGTTCCAAAAGTTAAAAGAATCCTTAGGCTTTTCTTTGGTCAAGTTGCTATATTTTAAAGAATCTATGTGGTATTATTAACACTGGCCTCAAAACAATGTTAACATTTCAAATCATAGGAGGTTGTGGTTATTATATGTGTGTACCTTCAAATGCCCATATTTAAGAGCTACATAAATTGAACAATGTCTAAATGTGTGAAATATTTTCTCTATTTACAAGTATAGTGCAATTAGTTAAAGAACTCTGGTTTTACGTTTAAGAATTGGATTTGATTTCTAGATTTGCTATTTATTGCCTAACTGATCTTAAACAACTCATTTGATCTTCCTTTCTGCTTCCTTGGAAATTAGAATATGGAATAGATATGTTAAATGATGAAATCAGGGAATTATTCAAACTTCTTCCTTTGAATAGACTTTTTCCTTTTAAAAGGCTGTATTAATTACACTGGAATTATGTAAGAAAATCTTTTCAATTTATAGAGATCTAATTGTAAAATGTCAGACATTAGTAATTTTACACACTTAACCCGAAACCACTAAAATATGTATGGACATGTGTGTATTAGCATATGAAGTACTCAATATTTTAAATGTCAAATACTAATTACTAAGTCAAGGTGCCATGTATGTTTATTGTACTACTCTTTCTATGTCTCCAGACATTTGAAAGTTTTCATAAGAAAAGGTTGAAAAACAGAATTTGGTAAAGTAGCCAAGTGAAAAGTTAAAAAAATAAGTATACCACTTTTGACAAGGGTGGCAAGACAATTCAGTGAGGAAGGAGCAGTCTTTCCAACACACAGTACTGAGACAGATGAACACCCACATGCAGAAGAAGGAAGCTGAAACCCTACCTTACACCATATACAAAAATTAACAGAAAGTGAATCATAGAACTAAATGTAACAGACAAAACTATAAAACTCTTACAAGAAAACATCAGACTAAATCTTCATCACTTTGAATGACATAGTGGTTTCTTGCACACTGTACCAAAAGAACAAGACAAAAAAAAAGACAAAGCTACACATACTAGACTTCATCAAAATCAAAACTTTTGTGTTTAAAAAGACACCACCAATTTTCTCAGAAAACTAAAAATGGATCTGCCTTTTGACCCAGCAATTCCACTGCTAGGATTATATCCTAAGAACCCTGAAACACCAATCCAAAAGAACCTATGCACCCCCAATGTTCATAGCAGCACAATTTATAATACCCAAGTGTTAGAAGCAACCTCGGTTCCCATCAGTAAATGAATGGATCCAACAACTATGGTACATTTACACAATGGAATTCTATGCAGCAGGAAGGAAGAAGGAGCTCCTACCCTTTGCAACAGCATGGATGGAACTGGAAAGCATTATGCTGAGTGAAATAAGCCAGGTGGTGAAAGACAAATACCATATGATCTCACCTTTAACAGGAACCTAATCAAGAAAACAAACAAACAAGCAAAATATAACCAAAGACACTGAAATAGAGAATGGGCTGATAGTGACCACAGGGGAGAGGGGAAGGAATTTCAGGGGAAAAGGAGAAGCGTTTGCAGAAACAAGTATAAAGGACACATGGACAAAAACAATGGGGGGTGGAAATGGGAGGGAGGTGGGGAGGGCTGTCGGGGGTGGACTGTGATGGGGGTAAAAGGCAGAAAACTGTACTTGAACAATTAAAATAAAAATAAAAAAGGACACCACCAAGAATGTGAGATGACAATGAATGGAATGGGAGAAAATATCTGCAAGACACGTATCTGTTAAGAAACTGGTATCCAGAATATATAAAAAACACAAGTGAACAGCAAATACATAAATTACTCAATCAAAAAATGAGCCAAGGATTTAAACAGACATTTCTCCAAGAAGACATTCAAACAATTAGTTAAGCACGTGAAAAAGTCTCAACAGCGTGAGTTACTAGGGAAATGTAATCCACAATCACAATGAAGGACTCCTTCACACCCACCGGAAGGGAGAAAATGAAAATGTCTGACAATGACAATCACGGGTGAGGATGTGGGGAAACTGGAGCCTGCAGACATTTTTTGGTGAGACTTCAAAACAGTGCAGCCACTTCGTCAAAACAGTTTGGCAGTTCCTCAGAAAGTTAAACATGGAGTCCCCATACAACCCAGCAACAGAACTGGGTTATACCACCCACAGAACTGAAAACATATTATCCATACAAACAGGTACGTGAGTGTTCACAGCAGCATTATTCATAATAGTCAAAAAAGTGGAAACAACCCATATATCTATAAATAAAAATCTAGTGTGTTTGTAAAATGGAATATTATTCTGCTAGAAAGAAAGAACAAAGAACTGACACATGCTACAACAGATGAGACACTGACAGCATTTTACTGGCAAGAGTATTCACATCGCATGACTCAGAAGAAATGGCAGGAACAGGCAATGGAAAGAGACACAGCAGATTTGTGATTGACAGGGTTTGGAGTGGGGGAGGGAGGGCAATGGGGAGTGAGTGCTAAGGGATATCGGGTTTCTTTTATGGGGATGAAAATTTCTGGACTTAGGCAGTGGTGATGGTTGCTCAACCCTGTGAACGTGTTAAAAACCACTGAACACTTTAGAAGAGTGAATTCCATAGTATGTGAACTATATTTTAATAGAACCATTATTAAAAATAGAAAAATGAGTATAAGATACCAATATACCAGCAAAATGGGCAAATAACCAAAAAAAAAGTGTTTCACAAAAAAATAATTTCTCACCCTCATTAGAATTGAAAGACAAATGTTAATATACGTAAGACGTATTTTGTACCGATAAAATTGATGGGTCATAGTACCATGCAGGTTGGTGAGGGTACGAAGAAACAGGCTTTCTCACACCCTGCTGGCATTGCACTTGTTACATTTCCTGCAGGAATTCATAATACACAATCAAAGAAACTTTTACAATCCATTTACCAAAAAACAGAAAGCCTGAAGGTCACCTGGGGTGGGTCACTCTGTTGGTTAGAACATCATCCCAATACATCAAGACTGTGGGTTTGATTCCTACTGAGGCAGGACACATTAGCTATAAGAAGTAACTAATGAATGCATAAATAAGTGAAACAACAAATCGATGTTTCCTTCTCTCTCCCCAAAATCAGTAATAAAAAAAGCCTAAAGATACCACAATGTGGATAATTTAAACAAAGTATGGAAGATCAATGCTGAGGAATTATTTGCTCGTATCTCCCACTTGGGTCTCAGAAGTAGGGCCGTGTCCGGAGGATCCCACTGCACACGCAGCCTCAGGCCTGCTCGGCACACGCAGACCTTCGTTCACATGCTGCCTCGTGCAGCTACTAAATACAATGTTCAGGAACGTTGGAAAACTTTGGGAAATTTTAAATTCATATTTCTAAATGAAAAATAGCAGGTAACTAATCAAGCAGCGCATCATCCCATTAACATACAACAAGCTGATTGCTCATGTACTAAAGAGCTCGTAAGTCAACAGTGGTTATTTATGAGTAGCAGAATTATAGGTCATTTTATTTTATACTCTGAGAAAGACTTACACTGTCCAAATTTTCTATAATAAATATGTATCAGTTTTATAATAAAATCCACAAAATGCTACTTTAAAGTAACGTACTGTAATATTTCTTAACTGTCTCTCACCCTCAGGGTCACTGCTCGCGCTCTGGGGTTCCGAACGGATGGTCCTGACGAAACATAATCAGCTGTGTCAATTTCCACGGGAAAATGCTTCTCACACTTTTCATCACTGTCTAGGGCAGCAGGCCACTCAGTGCAGAAATCTGAGAATTAAAAGAATTATCTCAATAATTTCCCAAGTACATTCTCATTGCAATGCATGCTACCAGACAAAAAACATATTATTGAGAGATTACTTTGTCAGTTTACATGAAATGGAAGAACAGATTCTACTCTGCACTTTAAAGACACATCATCAACCCTCATCTCTTCTTCTTACGTAAGCCCTATTAGGGAATTTAACTAAGAGAGTGATCTGACCAGTTCAGGTTTAGTGGGGAGCAGTATGTTCAATTAAAAGGGAACTATGACTTGAGGATGTTCAATTACAGCCCTGCACACACCTGCTATGGGACAGTTTAAGTCCTCTCCAACCCAAACCACACAGTACATAGTGCCTGGAGCATCACTATTTTCAAAAAGGCAACAGAGAATATCATTCACTCCCAAATGAAGGGAACTGAAGACTGGCTGAGGAGACTGAAAGGAGCGCTAAGACAGTTCTACAAGAAACTGAGACCAATACTCAGATACCCGGAGAGGAACGAAATATCTTTACAACCAAAACCAATTTGGCATTTAAATAAAAAGAACACAGCAAGAGGTAATGTCATTCCTGTTATGGACCAATTCCAACATCCTACATTGTAGGATACAACACTGCCAAGCACTTTATAAGAGAAACTAGTTTGGAGAATTTTGTAAGTTCCTGGGTTTGTACTGAATCTTTTTTTAACTTTGAATAAGTCATTTCAATCACTAGATCATAATTACAGCCTTTATATTAAATGACCTGATTACATGTTTAAAAGAATACAGCCAACTGGAAAGTACCTAATAGACCTCCATTAGCTTTTATTCATCTGATAGAGAAATGACGAAACTTCAGAAGACCTTGGTTTTTACTTAACTTCTGCCACTAATTATTAAAATTTTGGTAAATTACCTAACTTTCCTGGGCTTCAGATTTTCCATCTGCAAGTTAGATATAAAATCTAAACTGACCTACTTTGAAAGAAAACTGAGAAGAAATATTTGAAAAGCCTCTGAGTTACTTGGAAGATACAATCTAAATCCAGAAGCTGGCAGAAGTGTAGAGAGAGAACCAAGGAAGGATTAAAACACTCAAACACCCTTCTGAAAGTGCTGTATGAAAACCTTACATTTAAAAAGTACGAAGCACTTCAGAAATATCTCATTACAACAACCAGTTTCTAGATTATGAATGCACATTTAAATCTAATGCTTAAAAAGGAAAAAAAAAAGGAATTTATCAGTGCAATGCATTTGTCAACGATTTACAGAGGACTGAACAAGTGAGGGATTATCTGTGCCGAATGGAGCACAAATGTGCCACAGTGGTCAGTGTCAGTCTCACCCCAGGTGCTAATGAATATAATGCAGAAACACAGAATCGAGGGACAGAAAAGGACCCAATGTCCCCAAACAGAAGACCATATAAATGAAAGGAGAGAAGAGCTACTCTTTCTTCCCTCATTTCAAGAGTAAGATCATTATTCCTACTTTTCAGGACCTCTTTATCTCCTCTTCCTAACTTTGGAATGGAAGGCCCCCCCAAAAGCTAAACTTGCACTGTAATCATGCTCCCCATCCTCTCTCTCTTCCCACGCTACCTGTAAAGTGCTTCTAGATTTCCTTTTCCTTCCTCAAAATCCTTAAAAAGTACACTGAGCACTGATACATCACCTGTAAGTCAGCATGAAATTCCGACTTGTTCCAAAGGGACTAACTTAAATTAAACTACACAATCACTCACTAATGGCTGTGAACCTAAAGCGATTCAAATTTACTTATTTAAGATACAGTCCAATGCAAATGAGATCAGAAATTAAATTGGAGTCCTGGCTGGTGTAGCTCAGTGGATTGAGCAGGGGCCTGTGAAGCAAAGGGTCGCTGGTTCCATTCTCAGTCAGGGCACATGCCTGGGTTGCAGGCCAGGTCCCCAGTAGGGGACACATGAGAGGAAACTACACATTGATGTTTCTCTCCCACTCTTTCTCCTTCCCTTCCCCTCTCTCTAAAAATAAATAAAAAATATATTTAAAATAATTAAATTGGAATATGTACAGATTTTAAAAACATACATAAAACCATGAGCAAAGAAAAAAAAATTCTTTGTCCTTAGCTCCATGCATGTTGGAAGGAAAACCAGCATGATAAGTGAGTGAAATCTTTCTTTTTATCTAGGAATCAACAGCTATTGCTCAAAATCAATAAATCCAGAGCTGGAAGTATAATTATATTTAGGTAATTACTTAATTGTGTGTGTGCATACACACACACACACTATATATAATGTATATATGGCATACATACTCCTTGTATATATGTACATATTAAATATCACACACACACACTCTGGAAGTTATTATCGCACCTAAATAATGATAAAGAGAATACTACTAGAATGAGGAGCTAAAATGGTAAAGGAAAAGCATGAGACGATTGCTTTTCATCACCAGCTCTTCTACTTGATGTTACTACTTCAAATTTCTTTAAAATTTTAAACACCTTCAAGATAACTCTTCCCCCTGCAAAGTATCCCATTACTGACCCTACTATCTCTTCAGGTACTCAGCATCTTCTCCACTATCGTCAATTTAAATCATATTGATTTGCATTTATTCGCAATACTCTGAAGTATGTTCTTTAGTCTTTTCACAAATGTGATTTCTATAATCCAACAGTAAGTCCCTACTTCAACAAGGATTATGATTTATGATTGTACTTATTATTCATAGCACCTTGTAAAGTTGTCGGCAAAAGAAATTTTTTTTTTTGCATATTTGGCATCTAACAACTCACCGAAAACAACTTAAAAATCCTTAAAAATAAATAAGAAACCAGCAATAATTCAGAATAGAAGCCAATACAGTATATTAGAAATGAGATCCCCCCCCAGCTTTATTGAGATATAACTGACATATATCCTTGTGGAAATTTAAGGTGTACATGTTGATTTGATACATTTATTTATTGCAATATGATTACCGTCATACTTAGGAAAAACCTGTAGCACGTCATATAATTACCACTGTTTTGTGGTAAGGACATTTAAGAGCTACAACTTCACAAATTTCAGGTATATAATACAGTATTAACAACTATGATCACCATACTGTGTATTAGATTCCCCAAACTTACTCATCTTCTAACTGGAAGTTTGTACCCTCTAACCATTATCTCCCTTTTCTCTCTGCCCTCCAGGCCCTCCAGCCCCTGAAACCACCTTTTCTAGTCTGTTTCTGAGTTTGGTTTTTTAGATTATACTTAAGAGTGCTATTATACAGTATTTGTCTTTCTCTGACTTATTTCACATAGCATAATGTCCTCAGGGCCATCCACACTATCACAAATGATAGGATGCCTTTCTTTTCAAAGCTGAATAATATTCCAATACACACACACACACACACACACACACACACACACACACACGTAAGGTCTGTACAGAAAGTATCCAGCCATGTAATACAAAAAACGGAGGCATTTATTGAAGAAGATACAAGGTACGAGAAACACTGTACACAGGACAATGACACCTCAGTCCCCTTATCCCCCTGGAACCTTATACAGTTCTTCTAATCACCATCAGCTACCCCATCATATTTTCCTGAATCTCACTGACAGTCTGAAATCTCTTCCCTTTCAAAAGTGATTTGTTTTGGGAAAAGCCAGAAGTCACAGGGTGTCAAATCCAGGTTACAGAGGGGCTGAGTGACCTGGGTGATATGATGTTCTGCCAAAAAAACTCTGAATGAGCAGGTGCATTGTCCTGATGAAGCTGCCAAATACCAGAAGCCCATAGCTGTAGCCTTCTGAGTCATCTCAATAGTTTCCACAGAGGAATGTTCAAGCTTAATGCAAAATTTGATGCAAATTCACTGCTCTACTGTCATTTTTAATGCAATGGCCACAAAGTACATATGTTCACTCAATTGTGTCTACCACCCCCACTGAGTAGCACAGTGAAGCCTTTATTGTTCATGAATGTGCATTCCTGTCCATTCTCCTTGACTGCCAGGTTATACTGTTGTCATGCAAACTGTTCCCATTATATTAACAATGTCTGGCCTTCTTCTGGACTAATACATATATACGTATATTATATGCATCACTTATCCTTGAACCATCTAGTGACAGACACTTAGGTTGTTTCCACATCTTGGCCATTATGAGCAACGCTGCAATGAACACAGGAGTGCAGATAACTCTTCAAGATAGTGATTTCATTTCCTTCTTATAAATACCCTGGAGTGTGACTAATAATTCACATGACAGTTCTACTTTTAATTCTTTGAGCAATGGCCGCACTGTTGCATAGATGCTGTACCAAGTAACGTTCCCACCAACAGTACAAAAAGGTTCCCTTCCTCCACATCCTCACCCACATTTATCTCATTGTTTTGCTGACTGCCATTCTACCAGGTGTCAGGTGGTAACTCATTGTATTTTGATTTGCATTTCCCTGCTGATTAGTGATGTTAAACATCTTTCCATGTAACTGTCGAACATTTCTATGTCCTCTTTGAAAAATGTCTACTCAGTTCCTCTGCCCATTTAAATGGCATTATTTGGCTTTTTGCTACTCATTTTTTGCTGAGTTGTATGAGTTTCTTATATATTTTGGGTATTAAACCCTGACTAAACATATGATTTGCAAATATTTCCTCTAATTTTGTAGGCTATCTTCATTTTGTTGATGGTCTCTGTTGCTCTGTAGCCTTTTAATTTGATGTAGTCCCTCTTGTTTATTTTTGCTTTTGCCTTTGCTTTTGGTGTCAAATCCAAAAAAATTATTGCCAAAACCAGTATCAAGGAGCTTACTCCTTCTGGCCCTTTTCTTCTGGAAGTTTATGGTTTCAGGTGTTACATTCAAGTCTTTAATTCATTATGAGTTGAATTTTCTGTTGGGTGTAAGACAAGAGTCCAGTTTTATTCCTTTGCATGTAGCTATCCAATTTTCCTAACATCATTTATTGAAGAGGCTATCCTTTCCTCACTGTATATTCTTGGTTTCTCTGTCATAAACATATGAGTGGGTTTATTCTGGGCTCTTCACTCTGTTTCACTGATCTGTTTTTATGACAACATACTGTTTTAATTAAAATAGCTTTCTAATATAATTTGGAATCAGAAAGTATGATGCCTCCACCTTTGTTCTTCTTAAGATTGCTTTGGCTATTCAGGGTCCTCTGTGGTTCCACACAAATGTTAGAATTGTTTCTTCTACTTCTGTGAAAAACGCCATTGGAATTTTTATGGGGATTATACTGACTCTATAGATGGCTCCGGGTAGTAGGGACATTTTAACAATATTAATTCTTCCAATCCACAAGCACAGAGTATCTTTCTACTTATTTGTATCTTAAAAAAAAAGAATTTATGTATTTATTTTTAGAGAGGGGGAAGGGAGGGAGGAAGGAAGAAGAACATCAACGTGTGGTTGCCTCTTCTGCGCCCCCTACTGGGGACCTGGCCTGCAACCCAGGCATGTGCCCTGACTGGGAATGGAACTGGTGACCCTTTGGTTCACACGCTTGCACTCAATCCACTGAGCCGCACCGGCTAGGGCTATTTATTTGTATTTTCTTCAATTTCTTTGATCGGTGTCTTACAGTTTTTAGTGTATAAATCTTTCATGTCCCTGGTTAAATTTATTTCTAAGTATTTTACTCTTTTGATTCAATTATGAGACTGTTCTCTTAATTTATCTTTCTGACAGTTCACTGTTAGTACATAAAAACAACTGATTTTTGTATATTGATTTTGAATCCTGCAACTTTACTGAATTTATTAGTCCTAACAGTTTTTTAAGGGAAATCTTTAGGGTTTTCTATATACAATATTCTGTCATCTACAATTAGAGACAATTTTTCTTCTTTTACAATTTGGATGTCTTTTACTTCTGTTCTTGCTTAAATGTTCTGGGTAGGACTTCTACTACTATGTTGAATAAAAGTGACTTGTCCTGATTAGAGAACCACTGAGTATACCATTAGCTGTGAGCTTGTCATATGTGGCCTTTATTACGTTGAGGTGCATTCCGTCTATAGAGTTTGTTGAGTTTCTCTCATCAAAGAATGCTGAATTTAGTCAAATGCTTTTTCTGAATTTATTGAAATGAGTACATAATTTTTATCGTTTATTTTATTAATGTGGTGTATCACACCAAGGTACAGATCCTGAGCCATCCTTCCATCCCTGAAATAAACTCTACTTACTCATGGTATATGATCCTTTTAATGTACTGTTGAATTCCCTGCACTAATATTTTGTTGAGGAATTTTGCATCAATGTTTGTCAGAGATATTGGCTTGTAATGCTCTTTTCTTCCAGTGCCCTTGTCTGGCTTTGGTGTCAGGGTAATGCTGGCCTTGTAAAATAAATCTGCAAGGGTTCCCACCTCGTCTATTTTTTGGAAGAGTTCTAGAAGAACTGGTATTAGTTCTTTAAATGTTTAAGATTCACCAGTGAAGCCACGTGGTACTGGACTTTGTTGGGTTTTTTTATTTCTGATTCAATCTCCTTACTAGTAATTAGTCTGTTCAGATTTTCTATTTAATCATAATTCATTCATGGTGGGTTGTATGTATGTTTCCACGAATTTATCCATTTCTTCTACATTATCCAATTTACTGATGGATAATTATTCATAGTGGCCTTTTACAATCCTTTGCATCTCTGTGTTATCAGTTAAAATGTCTCCTTTCCTTTATAATTTTATTTATTTAAATCCTCTCTATTTTGTTCTTGGTGAGTCTAAGTAAAGGTCCACATATTTTACTTATCTTTTTGAAAAACCAGCTCTTAGTTTTATTTATTTTTTTCTATTGTCTTTTTTAGTCCCTATTTTATTTACTTCCACTCTGATTTTTGTTATTTCCTTCCTTCTAACTTTGGGCTTAGTTTATTTTTCTTTTTCTAGTTCCTTAACATACAAAGTTAGGTGGGTATTTGAGATCTTTCATGTGTCTTAATGTAGACATTTGTTGCTATTATCTTCCCTTAGAAGTGAGTTTTTAAATCTGCTAAATCTTGGTATGATGTGTTTCCATTTTCATTTGTCTCAAGATATTTTTTTATTTCTCTTTTAATTTCTCCTTTGACCCACTGTTTGTTCAGGGTGTGCTGTTTAATCTCCGTGTATTTGTGACTTTTCCAGTTTTCTTCTTGTAATTGATGTCTAGTTTCATGCCACCATGGTCAGAGAAGTTGCTTGATATGATTTCGGTTTTCTTAAATTATAAAGACTCATTTTGTGGCCTAACACAATCCCCCCTCAAGAACTTTTCATGTGCCTTTGAGAAGAACAGGTATTCTGAAGCTGCTGAATCGGGTGTTCTGTCTATGTCAAGTCCGCCTGGTCTAACATGTAGTCTAAGCCCAATGTTCCCTCATCTTTTTCTACCCAGATGACCTACCCAATGTGGAATGTGGCACAGGAAGTCCCCTACTATTAGTGTAGTGCTCTTTATTTCTCCCTTCAGTTCTGTTAGTGTTGCTTTATACATGCAGGTGCTCCTATAGTGGGTGTACAAATATTTACAAATGTTACACTGTCTTGCTAAATCAACCTCTTTATCCTTAGAAAAGAGATTACATTCAAAGTCAATGATGTAACAAAACAACCACTTACCTTTAAGCGCTTCACAGTGTTTTTTAATTGCTACAGGAGTCAAATGCAGAAAATTGGGGATCTAAAGTAGAGAAATTTAAAGGGTAAATTAGCCAAATGTCTCAAAAGTATGAAAAAGACAATTTGTTGACATAATTCAATCACAGGTCCAACAAGCTTTATAATAAAATGTAGTAGTTTTTTACAATATTAATTCTATGTCAACAGTGTTTGAATTCAAGAAATAAATTCCTTGGACTATAGATTCAGTACCAAGTATCTTAAAAACTGACAACACTAGAAAAAGGAAACATCATTTCTATAGTACTCTCCTGCTGTGAATCTACATGTATGTATCTTTCCTTTATAGAACTGAAAGCACCGACGGACACACATCACTGTTTAATCCCCCTAAATGCCCTGTATTACAAAGCACCGTGACACAGTTTCTACACTGTCTTAACAGACATTTTAGAACTGATTTAATAAATAAACCTTGCAAATCTTAACTGAACAATTTAATGAAGATGGGAATATTTATATTAAGAGGCTACCTAATCATTCACAGGGCCAATGGGACGTTTAGGAAAGGTCAGAGATTGAATTCCTTCAAATAGATAATTAAATTTACTATGTATTTCTTGAACAATGTTAAGCAACTCAAGAGAAAACTTAGTTAAATAGACTCATTTGGAAAGAAAAATTTGAACAAGCAAAAAAGTTACTCTTAACTTTACGCCTCGAATCTTTAAGTGTTGATCAGAATGTCTACTCAAGAGAAATAGGCAATGAACTGGGACTATGGAGTAGGTGGCTTCATTTTTCTACACTTTTATTTTTGAAACATAAAATATAATCTTAACATCATAAAATCAAAAATAAATTAATTAAACTGGACACTTAAAATAGCTGGAAAAAATAACAGCTGATGCCTGCATGACGTTTATACAAGCACTGTTCCGTGCAGCTCATAAAATCATCCAACGGCACTCACTGGGGATAAACCACTTCACTGGACTAAGTATACAGGTGATTCTTAAAAGGAATGACATGCATGAAATGTTTAGATATCTATTTTTATTAAAATACCATTCACAACCACTAGAGTCATTATAAACATATTGCTACTCTCTCACCCAGTGATATTTTCCAAAGACCTTTTTTAAAAAAACTAAGTTCATTTCTCCTCTTTCATTTGAAGAAAAAAATAATTTCCTCAATGTTTGTTTTGTTTTATCTCTTGAAACATTCCCGTTTCCAAATTCCAACTCCTCCTGCCTCTAGCAGCTGGTAAGCCCTTCTCCATGTAATCCCATGGTATATAAGAGGAAACCATCTAAGACGTGCATTGCCAAGCTAAGCATATTTACATTTTCTTTAAAAGCCTGCAGTTCAGCCCTGGCTGGTGTAGCTCAGTGGACTGGACTGAGTGACAGCCTACGAATCAAAAGGTCATTGGTTCAATTCCCAGTCAGGGCACGTGCCTGGGCTGCAGGCCAGGGCTGCAGGCCAGGTCCGAAGTAGGGGGCGTGTGATAGGCAACAACACACTGATCTTTCTCTCCTTCCTTCTCCCTCCCTTCCCCTCTCTGCAAATTTTAAAAAATAAAACAAAACCTGCAGTTCATAAATCACTGTAGATGCTAATAACTGAGACATTTAGTATGACCTATTTTGTTTTACGCAATAAAGTTTAAGGACAATAACATTAATAATAAATAATATTCCACCTTTCTGGACAGAAAGTTAAAAACATTTTACAAGTGGTACCTTCATCACCCCCAGTTATCAATCTCAAATCACATTATTTCACTTTTCCTAGTTCCATCTGAAAGACACAATATAGAAAAGATAGAAAAGAAAAAGCCATTAAATGGGAAGCCACAGGACCAATTAATGACATTTTTAAATGCCTAGAATTCTTTGAGTCTTCTTTACCATGAATAATCAAAATATAATACCCATTATTACCTGGGAAAAATAAATTAAAACACAATAAGCTGTTATATACCGAGCCTTGAAGTATAAGGGGGGTAAAGGAGAATGGGAGGAAGATCACCATTTATTTAGATATGTCTTAGCCCATGAACTAGCAACTTATCTTACCTTTAGAAGCTCCAGATTTCCCTCCTTTGCCATGGGCACGCCCATTTTTACTGGATAGCCCATTCGAACAGGCAGAGGCACGACAGAGGGTTTAAAGGGCGCTGCAACAGGGTAAACACTAGGCCAGTCCTGGTCCACAGCCATTTTCTCCGTCCTGGGAGGTAGTGCCTAAGAAACGTAAAAGAGCTTAATGCTTTAAATATGAACACATTTTCAAATTTTAAACAAAAGAAAACATGCAATTAAGAGACCACTAGCAGAGTTACAACCTATGTAAAATCCGACCTTCCACAAAGCTGCTGCTAATCAAATAAAAACATATTCAAATAAAAAAAACACCAAATCTATCTATTTCTGTACCAGTTCCTCAAAACCTTTGGGGCAAGGATCCCCTTTAATAACACATTTCCTTTACTAAAAATATCTCTATTTTAATTATTTACCTTGACTTCCAGCAAACTTTTTACATTTTGTTTATGAAGGGAGTGAGTAACAATATATTTTGAAATAATTTTTAAAATTTCTTTGATGGAAGTCAGTACATGAGGTCACACTGAGAACTTGTAAATAAATTAAGGTTAAGCTAACTGAATGAACAGATAATAAGAAATTATATACCTCCTAGGCCCGGGGAACATCTACATGATTGCTTACTCAATCGCAATACATATATATAAAAATACATAAATACATCCACTAGAAGGTGATGGCCAGCATACAAAAATGTGGTTTAAAAAGGCAAAATTCAGCAACACCCCTCTAAACAATATCTAAACTAGTACAGTTTGTCCTGGAAGCTGGCAATAGTCCTATGAAAATAAACACTCTAGACAACTATAATTTGATGCCATTTAACTTCCAACTAATAAGCCTTTGTTCTGAGTCCATGCCAAGTGACATTATAATTCGGATTTTTCCAAAGAGATGTCCACAAGGTGAGAACAAAATAGATTAATGCACACATCCCAGGTTATATGCCTGTGACAAGCATCATCAAAAATAATTCTATATTCTGGTCTATGGACTTATTTTCTGGGAGTATGTGGGTGAGTCTACCTCTCAAAGATGAATCATTCTCGGGGTACTGACACAGACCGGCCCAAGACTAGCGTCAAGACTGTGATAGTTACCAAGTAAATATCCCCTTATGAGCCCTTCCTGGGCTGCACCCTGCTACCTCATTGTGAAAACCTGCCACACTTCAAAACTTCAGAAACCATTAAGGCAGTATATATTAAATATGTTCATTGTTTACCTTTCTTCTTGGTGGCCTTTCAGATTTGGACATTCTTCCTGTTGTACCTAAAAGACAACGCAATGGTCAGAGAATTTTATAAGAGATCATTCAACACTGATCGTGATCTTATAATTCAAACACAGTTTAAGGTATTCAGTAACAAAAAAAATGAAACAATAATCCACTTTCTGTAAGCTCAGGAACTAAAATCATCTTAATAAAAATGAAAAGTCAGAAGTAGTTAAGAAAATTCCAGTTATTAAAATATAAAGTGAAATCATCATCTAAAGAAATATTTTCAATACATTTTAAGGTTTGCAGTCAAATAAACTCACTTCCTCAAATTAAAATATTTAGTTAGAAATAAGAATTTTTGTATCTTGAAAGATAAATAGTTTGCAATGTTCTAATTTTAAGTATACTTGCTCATATTTGGCAATATTGTCCTTTCTACCAAAAAAGGAGAAACCCTTAAGTTTTTCCTTCTCTACTTGTATTAGAACTGCCAATGATACAACAACAACAGAAATCACAGCCATTCTAATAAATCATGTAACTGTAGAAGAGGGTAGATTACTTACATACAGTATATTCCTTTTAAAATATTACCTTATGCCTCTCTAACTGTGCTGCTATTCTTAAACAATAATAACTATAATTAATTAATGAATACTTTCATGTGCTAGACACTATGCTAAATGCTTTTCATTATCTCATTTAATCTTATTCTTCAAAAGAAGTGTAAGTACTATCGTTATATTTATAGGTCATTTATAGCCAAGAAAACTAAGGACCAAGAGTTGTGACATTAGCACAGCATATGAGACTTCACATCTCTAGCTCACCTCCCTTCACAAGGGCCCACAACTACACTGAACTCCCAGTACCAGGCCCTTCTGTCTTTCTGCACTTTATGTTCTCTTTGCCTAAAATATGCTTCCTCCCACCTTCTTGACTTCTGTCCCCTTCTCTCTTCCCACCTCATTTCTTCATTTGATATACTCTTTCTCATCCCTCAGTAGCATTTTATTTATTCCTTCAAAAGTTTTGGAAAGATACTGTACACCAGGAATTAGGAAGGCAGGAAAAGAACAAAAGAACCACAGTCCTTACTCCCACAGAATGGAGAGTCTGTCAAGTAAGGCAACTAACTCTTTAATAAATAATTTCAATAAACAATAATAAGTATTAATGGAAATATATAGCAAGGGACCAAAGCCAGTCCAGTAGTTGGAGAATATCTCCCTGAAGAAGTTGACTTGAAGCCAAAATGTTAAGTATGAGCAGGAGTAGCAGTGGGGATGGGCAAGGGAGAAAAAGTGTTCTGCAGGAAAAGGTGGAGAATCAAAGCAAAGAAATTCAATATGGCTGAACCTTCAGACCAGAGTAGAGAGCACATTGAGCAAAGAAACTGCAGGTATTTAATTGGCATCCCAACTATAACACATCGTTGGCAGAGCTCTTGATCGTCTTCTAGTCTTCCCAATCCCCATGAATGGTATTGTCATTCATCCAATTACTCGGGACAAATTTCTAACATGCTTCCTTGAGACTTTTCCTCAAGCCCCATATCAAATCCATCAGTAAGTTCCATTAGCTCTACCTTCAAAATATGGGGTCCAGCAGAAGTCACGCCTACTTGAACGTAGTTGGTAGGGTAATAATATGGGTGTAAAATACTTTTAATTTGAACATTTTACCTAAAATGTCATACGATGTGCTTGAGTGTGATAGTTATGTTACAGAATTACATTCTTATGGCTTCATAATAAAAGATTTTGTAATAAAAAAAGAGGCATTATTTGCGCTGGACCCTGTATGTCCCAAATTCAGCTACACCACCTTCTCCAATATTACTTCAGCCCAGATCAACATCACCTCCTTTGTACAACAGCTTCCGAACTGGTCTCCTGACTTTCAGTCTTACCCTCCTAAAGTTAGTTCTCCACAGGGCACCCAGTGGTCTTTTAAAAGTGTAAATCACATTACATCACTTCCCTGTTCATATCTTCCAGTGTGATCCCAAACCTAAAATAAAATCCAAGCCAAATGCCTAAGCCTTCAGAAGATCAGGCCATTACTTACTTACCTTCCTTATACTACTATTCTCCACTTTGCTTACTCAGCTCTAGCCACGCTGGCCTTCTTTCTGTTCCTCGATCACTCCCATAAGCTTATTCTTACTTCTGGGCCTTTGTACTTGCAATTCCCTATGCCAACAATGTTCTTCCCCCTTCTTCCTCCCCACCATCTCAGCACAGTTCTGGACTCTGCTCAAATAGTTTTCAGCATAGTCCTGGACTCTGTCACTTCCCCAAGGTCTTTCCAGACAGACTGCGTATCCTATCCTACCCTATCCAATAGCCACTACTCCTCCAACCCATCATTCTCAACATCCTGCTTTATTTTTCTTTTTTTTAAAGAGGACCTGGCTGGAGTAGCTCAGTGGGTTGAGTGCAGGCCTGCGAACCAAACAACCGAGGTTCGATCCCCAGTCAGGGCGCATGCCTGGGTTGCAGGCCAGTTTCCAGCAGGGGACTCTCAAGAGGCAACCATACATTGATATTTCTCTCCCTCTCTCCTTCCTTTCCCCTGTAAAATTAAATAAAAATCTTTTAAAAAATGAGCTCTCCTGACTTAAAAAAAAAAGATTTTATTTGTTTTTAGAGAGAGGGGAGGGGAGGGAGAAAGAGAGGGAGTGAAACAGCAATGTGTGAGAGATACATGGATTGGTGGACTCATCCACACCCCCAACTGGGGACCTGGCCTGCATGTGCCCTGACTGGGAATTGAATCCCCGAAGAGGCCACCACTCAATCCACTGAGCCATACCAGCCAGGGCCCTGCTTTACTTTTTTCTTCACAGCACTAATCACTACCTTACATTGAACTGATATTACTTATCTGTTTATAGTCTGATTTCCCCAAAAGCATGTAAACTTCATGAGATTAGGGGCCTTGCTCCATCCCAGTACCTAGAACACTACCTAGGACGTAGCAGGAGTTAAGTATTTGGAGAATGATTGAATGAAAAATTTAAAAATCATGTGTTAAGATTATGAATAGCCACTGTGAAGCATTAAGGAATTTATCATTTATCTTAAATCAATGAGAAACTACTTGCAGATTTTGAACAAAAGTGTGGCAAGGTAAGATTTGCTTTTTGAACACTTCACTCTGGCCATTGTGAAAATTCAATGTAGGAGAGCAAAAGCAGAAACAGGAATCAGTAAAGAAGTGGGAGATGGTGGCGTAGATTGAGCTGTTAGTAGGATTAAGGTTGAAGATCCTTTGGAAGGAAGCACGGATTAGCACCTGGGGTAACTGGACATGTCTCCTCCTGGGCAGTTTTCTGGACTCTTGTAGGCTCTTCCCCAACGCTCCCACGTGACCCTACTCCGAAGTCGTCTACAACACCTTACACTGCATATAGTTTGCTTAACAAATGTCTTTTTCACTAGATTCCTACAGGGTGAGAACGGTACCCTGTGTCCATATCTAAGTGAAGGTCATTCAACCTGAGTCTGAATGAAGGTCATCCCATTTGGTGGCACTGCTGGGCCTGAAATTCAGAGCTGCAGTTTGTTCTGGGACAGGTGTATGTTTCCCTTAACGTTCGGGAAAATCCGTTGTTCACTACCCAAGAAACACTACCCACGAAACCAGAGAGAAACTGCGCCGGGGACTGTGGGTCGGAGCACCAACGCAGGTCAAAGAGGAGGGAGAGGGCACGTTCGTAGAGCCCAGGGATCCGGAAGCAGAAATCCGCAGCCAGGAATGGGGTGACACGTCCGTAGAGGACAGACCCACATTTACGGCTTTTCTACTAGGTGGCCCCGGGACAGACTAGCAGAGGACGAATCATCCTCACCCCTCAACTGCCCCGAGCAAAGCTGGCTCCGCCACCTGGTCGGCCCTCGTGGGTGCATATTCCGCCCTCTCACCTTCCCCAAAGCCTGGAGGCGACGCAGCACACACTCACGTGGGCTTGGTGTCCGGGCAAGACTTGTCGGAGGCACGGCGGTGGAAAAGGCACGCAAGGTCCTGGCCCCTGGCTGCAGAGACAGCCACGCCGGGAAGAAGGCGGCCGCCATGGCTGAGAAGACGGCAAGCCAGAGGGGACATGCGCGATCCCGCTTCTAGGAAGATGGAGGGGCGGGTCCGAGGTCGCTTCTGCGCATGCGTGCCCATAAGGCGTAGAAACAGAATCCACTTGAGCCTGGGGAGACAGGTCCAGAGTCAAAAGTGCACCCCGAAAAAAGAGGGGGAAAAAGTAAAGAAAAAGACACGAGACTTAAAAAAAATTGAAGCGGCCGGTCTAAAGATAATGGCAAATAACGATCCTAAGGGATGGGGGAAATGTGACTCTCGGAAGAACAGTGTGGTCTGAGTAGCAGCAACTCCTGTGGCCCAGGGTCTACCTTAGTGCCCTGCTCCTCCGCGATGGCTGCTTTTCTACACTTTCTCGGCTTAAGTATTCAGCTAGTGCAAAGGGACACGCTCTAGGGGGGAAAGGCAGTATCCGATAATAGTTAAAAGGGTACCTGAGTGTAAAACTTGGTTTCACCCTCTCCATGCTGTGAGCCTAATCAAGTTAATACAAACATCTGGAAGGACATGGGCACAGAGTGAGCGAACTGTGGGCATAGGAAGCAACTGTTTTCAATGATTTGGTTAGCTCCTTTGTAGATCAGGGTAGAATGACAAAAAGTATTCAGCAGGGCTTAGAAAACAAGTCATTCTTTAATAAATTCTCTATTTTTTTTACCCTGGGTTTAAATTAGCATCCAACTCTTAATAAAATTATTGTCTATTTTCTTTTCAACTGGTAAGTATAACATCTAATCAAAGCACAAAGTTATAATAACAACTGGGAAGAAGCACAACTGACTCTTGGCAAGCATACAAGCAACAGATCAGAAGCATGCAGCGGCCTCAGAGTATTCTTCCTGTGAGCGTGCAGTGCGCCGTGAGCATCAATCATTATGTGACGGGGGAAAAGTGGCGTGATGGGGCAAGTATTTGTAATAACCACCATTCTCATCTCCTCTGGCTTCTCATTATACCATTACTGTTCCAAAGCAGAAGTATGGTCTATTAGTTTTCTAGAGCTGCTGTAACAAAGTACCACAAACTGGGTGACTTAACAGAAATTTCGTCTCTCAGTTCTGGATGCTAGAACTGTAAAATCCAGGTGTTGGTGGTGGTTCCTCATGGAAGTTCAGAGGGAGAATCTGTTTATGCCTTTTAGCTCTCACGATTATTGGCAATACATTGGCATTCCTTGACCTGTGGACACATCACTCCAATCTCGGCCTCTGTCTTCACATGGTGTTTTCCCCCTCTGCTCTATTTTTAAGAGTAAAAGCATGGCTTTTTAGTCAGATGAATATGGAGTTTGAATCCAGGCTCGGCTTTTTTGTGATCTTGGTCAAGTCCACCTAACATCTTTGCACTTCAATTTCAAGGAAAATAGGTCAGTAGTACCTCCCTTAGGACCGCTGCGATTGAGTTCTATTTCAGAAGATGTAATATCAATGGTGGCATTGGAATTAAGCTCAGAGTAAATGCAGCAGCCACTTTTTCTCTCTGAAGTGTGTATACTTCAGTACAATGAAGTGCAAGGCCTATACCATAACAATTTAGGGGCAAAAGAAGTATGAATTCTTATAAAATTAGTTTATATTCAGAGAATTATTCATTTCTGAGCAAGATGTTAAGAGACTTAGGTCCTTAATCTACCTTCCTATGCTTTCTGTCTTTTGTTTTACTCTTTCCCTAAGAACAAAGTGGATGGACACTATTAAGAGTTAGTGGAGCCACAGAAATACTTACTGTTTTCTCAGACATCAAGTACAATGAAGTTTGTTTTATGTTAAAAGTTAAAAAATCATTTGTAATGCTATTAGCAGGCAATAATTCTTGATTCGTGCAGTGTAAAGAGTAAAAAGCATGTGCTATTGTGTACAAAGGATTTACTAAGAATTGCACAGTTTTTCAATTGAAAAAGATCTTAATGTGCACTTACTCATTATAAAAAATCTTTTCTTTGGACTGCATGAGAAAATAACCCAACATATTGTAGAAACAACACCGGTTTCATGGGCATGTGACTTACACTTAGAAGAGCCCTGTGCTTGGCTGAACACTCTGTTGTCCATCTTGAAATTTTTAATAACTTTCGATCAAGGACTCTACATTTTCATTTTGCATGGAGCACCACAAATTATGTAGCTAGTCCTTGTGTAGGCAATTTTAAACACTAAGTGTTTTTCATAATGGGTTTTTATTATACTTAAAACCTACATTAATCCAATGCAGGTTTCTATCAGAAAGTCTATCTGACTTTCTATCACAGCTATTTATCAAAACTACCTCTTAATAAAAAGTAAATGAACAAAGTATGTCTATTTACAAACATGTTATAGGCAACATGCAAATATCCAGGTATGTGAATGGACTTTGCAACCTAAATATTGATTAAAATAGTATTGGCTAACTATATTATGGTATATACAACATAGAGTACACTTAGATGGGTCTTACTTAATCCTGTTTGAACATTAGAATTATCTCAAGAGACACTAAAATATCCGTTTAGGGTCCCTCCTTCTGAGATGCTGATCCATTGGTATAGGTGAGTTTAAAATACTGTTTTATTGTTTTTAAATTCCCCAGGTAAATCTGCTGTGCACACAGGACTGAGAACTATTAATGTCAGCTTTAAAAGGAAACAAGTGGATAAAAATCTATTAGTGTGAAAAATTGTATACAATATATAATTAAGTTTTTAATGTTAAAAGGTATTTATGGATCATATGATTCCATGTGCATAAAATATTTTTAATATACAAGTGCTGGAAGGGAAAACAGCAAACTAGATGGAACGAGTATGGGTGGCGGTGAGACTCCTGAAGACTTAACTTTCCCCATTTCCGTACTTTAATTTGACACCAAAATGCAGGTTTTCAAATAAGAGAATACAGTATTTTATAGATCAGTGAGAGCTTCACATTTTTAATTTTAATTAAAAAATATAGTAAGTCTTTCGTTTATATCATCCAGCTGTTTATAACATAATTATTTACAATTTGTACTAGACTTCAAAATCTCTGTAAACTTACACTTTAGTGTAGAAAAGGTCACAAGCATTGTCTTTGAATAAGTTGGTCAGCCCCATTTTACAGGTAAAAAATCAGAGTTAAGCCACTAGACTTAAGAAAATTGAGACTCAAATCCACCTTTGATTCCAAGTTAAATACTCTTTACTATACTACACCACTTCTTGAGAGCTCACTCTTCACAGCATGGCTGCAGACAGGGGTCACTATATGCCAAGGAAACATTAATTGGGTATTATAATCTTCCAGGAACAAAGTAGGAATATTTATTTAACAACTTCAAGAGATGTCTCCTGGGCCTATTAATATTCACTTACTGAAGGCAGGGGTTTTAAAACTTCCTTGATCTTTGGGTTTCCTGGAATGAAGGAATACCAAAGGCAAATTTAGTTCTGCCTTTACGTATAATCTTAATATTTAAGTTTAGAAATACAACATTTTAATTGTGATGTATTTCATAGCCTTCATCCAATTATCAGCAAATGCTCTATGCTTTTACCTTCAACTATTCCTAAACCTGACCTCTTTACCCCTCCTCCTCCTCTGCCACTTTGGTCTGTCCAAGACCCCCTTTTCTCTCCACAGCTTTCCTTTTATAGCTTCCTACCTGTCACCCTGGGCTCTGCTCCTACCCTTTCCTCCATACAGTCTAGTCTCCACCCAGCAATCAAGTGAGGTTTTTAAAGGGCCAGTCAGATCAAGGCATTTGTCTCCCCAGAATAAAATCCAGAGTCCTTACAAGTAAAATCTATGTGATCTGTTTGCTGACTACTTCTCCAACCTTGTCTCCTATCACTCTTGCCCTGGCTCAGCCTGCTCCACCTGCACCAGCCTCCCTGCTATGCCTCAGAAAGTGTATCACAAATACACTCCCTTCTCTGGCCCTTTGCATCTGTGGTTCCCTAGGCCTAGAACACTTTTCCAGGTATCTGCACCAATGTTCTCTGGATTCAATACAGACTTCTGGTTAATTATCCCGTCCTCATTGAGGCTTTATTTTTCTTTACCACACTCCTGTTATATTTCTTAAATGTGCATTTAAAATATATTTACATAGACTTACTTTCTGTCTTCCACCATTCAGAGAGAAGTTCCCCCTAAAGTAGAGAGATAGTTCTTTTTCCTGCTGGGTTGACAGGGCCTACCTAGCATGGAGCAGGCATTTAGCAGTCATGTGAATGAATGTGTCTTCCATTTACAATTCTAAGCACTTTTCGATTCTCCCTTCTAGAACAGGGGGGTGGGGAATAATCCCCCTCACCACACTACTGTCCTAACCCCAGGGTTTTAAGTAAAGATGGTTTTTATATATGAATACACTATCCTTATTGCAAAGGCTAAACAAATGTTAGGCAGCACTACAGGTGGTTGGGTTTTTTAAAGATATGTTTTTATATAGTTATTTTTAAATATTTTATTTATTTTTAGAGAGAAGGGAAGGGCGGGAGAAAGAGGGGAGTGAAACATCGGTGTGTGGTTGCCTCTCACATGGCCCCACACTGGGGACCTGGCCCACAACCCAGGCATGTGCCCTGACTGGGAATCAAACGGGTGACCCTTCGGTCCGCAGGCTGGCACTCAGTCCACTGAGTCACACCAGCCAGGGCTACAAGTGATTGTTATATGGGGTACTGAGTTTAAATCATAGGTAAAGCTAACACTTAAGCAGATCCCAATATGAATCCCGCCAGGGGCCTGTCTGCACAGAGAAAGCAGTTCGGGCAGACATGAGAGTGAGGGCAGCAGGCACAAGGCAGTGCGAGGTTTTGCTTAGTAATCCCAAATGCAAACTGGTATTGCAAACGTCATTAACCCTGTTCCACAGTCTTACACAGCACCGCTCCCTCCCTTCTCCCACTCAAGGCCGTAAAAACACATTGTACAATTTCAAGAGCTAGACGCATTATTTCAAACAAACACTTTTTTTTTTGTAAACCAAACTTCTTGTCCTGTTTTTATTACTGAGTAAATAGATGAAAGATTAAGCTAAACTGTCAGTTTTCCCTACAACATAGGCAAAGTTTTCCTCTCACCATAATTGTGACACAAACATTTTGACTGAGGGTGGAATTCCATGCTGGGATGATACTAGTGGATAAGATTGCTTATTAGAATAAAATGTCTCTTTCTTTTCATCTCACCGGCCAGTCTCATCACACAAATCCAGTTCAGAGGATGCTAATATAAACCTTGCCCACCTCTCTGAGCCCGTCTTTCTTGCTCAGACAGTTTCCAAGCAGCTCTCTGATGGAGACGCAGTCTTCGGTTTCCAGGACAAACTGTGCCACAGCCTTCCCTCCCGGCAGATGGCCCCTCGCCGTTTCACTTTTGACGCTGTCTAGGACAACTCCTCTGATGTCTTTCGGCTTTCCTGGCACACCAAAGATGATGAAGAGGCCCAGACAATCCTCTCCTATCAAGTTACAGAACTCTTCCAGTTTATCAAATCTGCTCTTCCTGGAAGATGGCTCTGCCCCAGACTCTGGATTGGGGCACTCACAAGGCTTAGATTCCACAGGAGTACGAGAAGACATCTGCAAAGTCTGCACAGCCAGCTGAAGCCTTATTTGCTTATCAGATCCCCAGAAGGTCCAAACCCAGTCCACCCCAAACAGCAGGGCTTGGTGCTTGGTCATCTTGGTGGTGGTGAGCCACCCATCAACTCCCTTTTCTCGGCAGAAAGTGACGAAGTGGATTAAGAAAATCTCGATCAGAGTGCTCGGAGCCGGGCACAGATTGCTCAGAGGGTCTTCAAATCCAAGATACCCCTGCAGCTTCCCAGCAGCATGCACAATAGCTCCACTGACCACCTCACAGACTTGGTGAACCTCTCTGCTGTCCTTTAGAGCCAACGGTTGCGATGGTTTTTGCCCCATTTTCTCTGCCCCCGATCAACACTGCCTCCAAATGTCAAACATGTAACCGTCGTTCAGAATGACTTCTTTTTCAGAGTAGAAGAAGTCTTACAGGGAAGTGGCATCTGTTAATGTCGTCTCAGTTTTCTAACTCCACAGCTTACCTGGTGTAGCTAAGCGTATATACATACAGCAAAACAAATAGGCCTCCCTGTTTGCCAACTGGGTGTGTTGTGTCTATACAGACACCTGCTGGTGTGTTAAGTCAGACATACTAACTTTCACAAAAACATCTGTTCTTCTCCAGTTATATTCACTGTACTTTTAATATTTGGTTATCCTTTCCAAGACATGTTTCATCTTTCCAAATTTGAGTTAAATTAAAAATAGCACTTAATTCTTTAAAGAACCATACACTTTCTACAACTAACTTCTTCAAATTTGCAGGCAAGTCATTTCTCTTTGCTTTTCCAAGATCTCCTCCGCCATCCTTCCTCACTCCCCAGCTCAACTGCCAAAGCTTCCTGTTGAAAAATTTTATGGGGGTTTGGAATTGTAAAGAGCTCACTGTTATCTCTATCAGAAATAAAGCCTTGTGGTTACTCTGAACAAAAGAAACTCAAAGAACAGACAATAAAAATGAGGCAATTATCAGCTGACTTTATTTCTTTTCATATGGTGACACCAGCAGTGTATAATATTTTATAAGTAAAATATATATCATCAAAAAGGTTTTAACCACGTCACATATCATCAAGTATGTTACAATGTCCTGAATAAAGACTATTTGGCATCTGTAACAGTCTCCTGGTATTTTTTTCACCAGGTTTGATAACAAATTGTTTCTCAAATGGTTGCATAAATCCACATTAAAATATAACACCAGTACATTAAGAGTCCAATACAGTTACCAAATAATGAATGGTAGGGAGCAAAAGATGATTGTTAGCATCAAATCACTGTAGTTGTGAATAAATAGTAGTGCAGTATTGCAGGTTCCTTGCCGACAAGCTCGGTAACTTGCTGAGAATGTGAGCGATCCTATCTCGGGCAACCCAACACAGTGTGGAAGTCCACTGGTGGATGAGGAATTGCCCGCCCCGTGCCAGTTCGTGGAAACCTGTCTTTACCACTGTTGACTATCATGAGTATTGATGTAGTACTGAATGAAAAAGAGAATATTCTTTCTAAAACCCCTAAGACGACTAGTAAACAGAGTAACAGTGTTTGCTGAAGCCTTCTATTTTTCTTTATAAAAGAATATTTATTTGGGCCCTGTGCTACAGAAAAACATGATCTACAGTTCACCACCACAAGGTAGCCATTGTAAAACGAATTTTCCAGCCTCAGAGTTATTGAACTCTGATTGAGAAAAAATGTTCAAATACTCAGCTTTTAAAAAAGATTCCATTCGTTAATAGCCTGAGAAATGTGCAATTAATAACATTAGTCAGACTGTTGCTATTTTGATGCAATGATATATTTAGCAACAGAGGAAAATAAGAATCTTAATACTGTGAAGGTTTTGGTTTTGTTTTAGTTTCTTCAGAAATTAGTTCTAGAAATTTGGGGAGAGCTTCTGAATGCAATCAAGTTAATAGATTTTAAATGTCCCGTGAGCTCTTCCTTGTAAGTTAAAAGAATCCAAGATGAAGGCTGAAGTTCTTAAAAAGCTAAGTGGCCATTTTGTGATATGTCATCAAAGAGGGGTCACTTCACACATAATAACGCAGTCCGAATGATCGGCATCATTCAGTTTGGTTGTGGAGAAAGGAACATTATCCCAACCTGTCCAAGAACCAGCTGGCACATGAGAACTTCGAACACCATATTTTTTCAATGTGATCTTTTTTAACCGTCTTCCTTATGTATGTCACAAAATAAGAGTTCTATGCTCTATGTACTAAATATACACATACATTTAAAAAAGTATATAAAAAAGGATGCTAAGAGGCCAGGGGAGGTGTGGCTGGCATTCAGCAGGCACGCTGGATGCTTAGAGAAATTCCACACGGGGACTTGAAAGCCTGCCGGGCTCTGCTTCAGCAGTAGGCTGCCGCGCTGCCACCAACACACCCACATGACAGAATCAGCCACCTCTGGGTGACCGCATTCCCAAACCCCCAAACTGTGACTGACTGGAAACACTACAGCAAAGTACTCATATAAATGCAATACTTTAAATATAATATATCACAGATTTTTACATTAAATAGAGGAAAAACAATTACACTCTCATTCACCAGTGTCTCGCTTTCTGTGGCAGCTTTAACATATCCCCTGCTTCCCATTCCCGCTTGAACGTGAGAAGATGGATCACTAAACAATACACAGTCTGGTGCTTGTTGGATATACTGTGTTTGAGGAATACAGTGGAAGGAGACCAAGAGCTCCTAGTGCTTGTCCGGGTGCTACGGTCAGACGTTTGAGTCCTCGTCAGTAATGCTGGCACTGGGGGACCGGGCGGCGAAATCTTTAAACATGTCATCTTCCTTTAACATGTGCTGGAAAACAAAGAGACGGAAGTCACACACACTGCAAGGTTCAGAGCTCAGAACTACACATTCTCCACTACACGTGCAGATCCTTGCGGTTATTTGCAAACGTATTTTTAGAATAAGATTTTAAATTCATTTTCCAAACTTACTGTTAGGTTGTTGATGCCTTCAGAGAATGCACCTATCTGCCTCACTGTCCCTTCTGAATCTTCCATCTGCAAAGAGCATACCATAACATGACAAACTCATTAACACAATTTCTAGGCTAGTGCAGAAAAGTGAACGAAAGTCTAAGAAGAAATAATGCAAGTGGTATTGAATGGGATGGGAGCAACAGAACACTTCTGAAAATCTCCTTGCACTACTGTAATTAGATGTTAAAATGTATAAGAAACTCTACGGTCACATCTAGACTAATCGCTCTGATACTAACAGTGGCACCAAAAGATTATTGATTAAAGGGGCACTGTTTGGTCCTATCCTTCATACTGAAAAGGCTAAGCAGTATGAGCTTGTTGTAATTCCCTTAGTACAGAGACAGGACAACTCGGGTAAGCAGCACAGGGTCTGGGGACAGCCTGGAGAGCTGGAATCCCAGCTCTTCTCTCTCTGTGCCTCAGGGTCCTTACCTCTAAAATTGGGACAAGAATACTTCCCATGTCTGAAGATTACTGCAAACATCAATATATATTAAGTGCTTAGGATAGTGCCTGGGAGGTAGTAAGTGATCTGTAAGTGTTCACTGTGATTTTATTATCTTTGTTTTTAAGCATTTGAAGAAGAATTCCTTTCTTAGTAGATACAGTACAAAAAGTTACCATTTAGGGTCTCGATGTTTGGAAGAACTTTAAAAACAGGTACATAATGTTGCCTTTACCTGCTCTAACCGGTCCAAGTCGTCTTCATCATACATGCGCATGTCCAAGCCAGATTTAAGTCCTTTCTTAGACATGTTTCCTGACGCCTGTCCCAATTCCATGGGACAAACATATTCTTCCCCATCTTCTTGTTTCTTCTTTCTCAGATTCCCAAAATTGCTGAAGGTGAGTTTCTTTGGCTTTAAAAGAAAGAAAACCAAAACATCCAGGGATTTGATAAAATTCACATAGCAAAGGGCTATGAACACACATGATTTCATTGTTCCTTCCATCATATAGAAAAAAGCAATTGAATGATTAAATCTGTACAACAAAAACAAAGGCATCCGAGGCATATGATTGATGCATCCAGACATGATGAATGATCCTGTAAAGAGTCTCAGAAAATTGTGCTTGTTCCCCTTATTCACACCAAGTAGCTGGGCAGTCACGGCAATGAAAGCAAAATAAGCAAAGGGCCTTCGTTTTGCCCTAACGTGACTTAACACAGTAAGATTTCTTAAGGTTACCTTCATTTTTGCAAGGCTTTCCATTCAAGGATCAGCAAAAGAAAGTGGCCCTTCCTGTGTTTTCTTTTTGGGTGAGGCTGTGACTATCTTGCAAGCCTGTTATGCTTCCATGACAGATGCTGACTGCTAAGAACCTCCGCTCTTTTGGAGACAAAACTTCCAATGTTACTTAGAAGACAAACTCCACCTTAGTCACTGGGTAGTCACTGACACTGTTAAGATGGTGATCAGGTGGATGCTGAGAATTTACATAGAACAGAACCTCTCAGAGGTTTCAAATCCAACACATCTTCTAAGGGAGAAAGGGGGCTGAAGAGAAAGTGCCAAGAAGGTAGAGGGGGTCCAAAAAAAAAAGAACTTGATAGATACTTGTGAAGAAGCTGATAAAGCCTATGTCCACAGTAAGCTGCTTGAGATAACAGAGGAATGATTCAAAAAAAGAAACATTAGTGTGAACTGTGTATGATGGATGAATCCAGGCAAACTAGGAACAGCCATTCTCTGCCAGTCTATCCTTTCCTAACATGCAAGGTTGGTCAATTACACGCCAGACGGGCGGAATCTGTCTGAGGAGAAATGCTGCTTTTACGCTTGATTTATCCACAGCAAAAATAGGACAACTACAGTCAATATTTGGGCCCAACCCATGGGCTCTCTGCCTTGGCAATGTTTCAATGACAAGAGCCAACACTGTGTTCTTTATTATTGTTAACTCCAATAAAGTAAATGACTTCAGCAAAGGAAACCTTCAAAACGGCATTTTACTGATTACTCTTAAAGGAGCATATACCTTCCACCTACCCACAAAACTTACTAAATCCCAGAAAATGGGATAACCAGTTAACAGTCAGAACTGAGCCTTTGCTATATAGGCTCACTGAGTTTGTGGTTTAACCCATAATTAAATGATAAGGGCTTGAACCCACCTTCACTTTGGCAGTGGCTGTTAGAAGCACGTAATCTGGTAACTCCATGGCATCGCGCTTCTGGCGCTGGGCCTCGGCACCAATCAGAAGGTTGAAATGAGTGGCCAAATGTCTTCGCAACAGGGTCTTACTCTGCGGGATGTTCAATAACTGAGCCATTGTTTCCACGTTAAAACGAGGTTCTAGAACCTGTAAGAAAAACAAAGATTCTGTGAGGTACCCTGCATGACACAAAATTCTTTCACTAAGTTATCTTCAGTGGCCCCCTCAGTAAGGTACTCCAAGTATGGACTCCAATCTTTAATGTACGTAACTTTTCTTCTTTTTGTCCAAGCTAATGAGAGATACAGCTGGTCCTGACATCCAGGCATTACTAAGTCGGGACCTATCCAAGGTATTCCATTTGGGAGGCCTTTGGAAGTCAACATTTTTGCAGCATCTGTGTGCAGAAACATGATCTGTATCTTTACAGAGGCTTTAAAGCAGGGGTGTCAACCTCATTTCCACTGGGGGCCACATCAGCCTCACAGTTGCCTTCAAATCGTCGAATGCAATTTTAGGGCTGTATACATGTAACTGCTCCTTAAAGTTGAGGAGCTGAAATTACATCCAGCCCTTTGAAGGCAACTGTGAGGCTGATGTGGCCCCCGCTGAAAATGAGTTTGACACCCCTGCTTTAAAACATGATCAAACAGGAGCCAGAAGCCGGGTGTGTTTTACAACATAAAAGAGGACAATGCAAGACGTGGGTTTCAATCTGATCTAGAATAATATGATAGTAAAAAGTACAGGAAAACATAGGCTAAAAGTAAAAATTCACTGCACACAGTGCAGGAGGGTTGGGTTAGACACCGTCAGGACTATAACAAGTAGAGCAGTAACCTCCTACTCATCAGACTGAAGGAGACAAATGATAGGAAGTCGAATGTAAATTAAAAGAGAGTTTTACCATGAGCCCCCCATGGACACCACTGCCCCTGAGGTTGGGGGCGTACTCGGCCAGGTCCACGGAGCGCAGCCACTCCATCACGCGGTGGTTAGTCCACTGCTGCACCTCCGACGGCGAGCTGCTATTCTGCGGGAACACAGAACCGCCAAGGCTTGTCACTGACTGTGGGATTCCAAATGTTAAGCCAGCAAGTGCTGTCTAGAAGTCTGCGCCACAGAACAGAGGTACTCAACAGCCCACTAAATGTCCATAAAAAGGATAAGAAAGTTCACCAACTCCAATTCTCTTTGAAAAAATGTATGTCACAACATTGTTAAACCTTTTTTTACACACTATTAGAACAGTTTTAGAAAAGGAAGCCTTTCTAGTGATATTTCTCTCTCTGGGTTAAGGAGGCAGGAAAATAAAATACACTCAAGAGAAGGAGGAAGGGAGCCCTGGCTGGTGTGACTCAGTTGGTTGGAGCATCATCTCACAAACTGAAATGTCACAGGTTCAATTCCCACTCAGGGCACATGCCTAGGTTATGGATTCGGTCCCAGTTGGGGTGTAAACAACCAGTTGATGTTTCTAACATCAATTTTTTTCTCTTTCTCTCTTCTTCCCTTTCTCTCTCTCTTTAAGGTCTACAAGCATGTCCTCAGATGAGGATTTAAAAAAAAAAAAAAAAAGAAAAACTAGGAAGAGAAACTAAAACACAGTCCTTGGCTACCATTACTCAGGTAAAGTCATCAGGGGAGGAACAGAAGGAATAAAGGGAAACAGAGCCCAGGTGAGGCTCTGCAGAAACCAGAAGCCTCCCTGCAGTGCAGACTCCAGGAACAAATGGGTCTCGGTTTTGCGCCCCGGGGCAGCCCCATGCACGGAGAGCGCACACTGCCCAGCCTTCAGCCTCAGGTGCTACCTCGTCAGATGGCCGCCTCCGTAGGCAGTTTGGCTCAAAGTTATTGATCCTCAGGACCTGGATGGCCCTTTTGATGCTGAGATGATGCAGCACACTCACGACCTTCAAAGACAGTAAGTCGTCCTGCAGAGAAGAGCAAACAGCAGAGCTCACTGAGCAGGGGGACCTCCTCAGGGAAATCTCCGACAATGCACAAAGGAGCAGAGCCCCCCCAACCTCTCGGCCCGAGGGCTTGTCCTCATGTTCAAAGCCTTTATTTAATAGCAGGACACCTTTTCTTGTTCCAATAAAAATCTTCTCCAGGACCCCAATATATAAGAAAAGCAAAATTCATGTTGTTCCAACTCAACTGACTTCCACCTATTTCTCTCCCTTTTATATATTCTGAGATAGAATTATGGGACCCCCCAGCTCTGAAAAAAAATTAGTTTGAAGGCACTTTCTAGGTCACTACAAAAGGTGGCCTGCTTTGATAAAGCAGAGCGCTAACAGCAAGTGATGCCCACGGGTAAGTGAGGCTCATTCCTGAGCTAAGTAACACACCAGCTTTGAAAGAACCCAGAGGAGCCGGCACACGGTACGGTCTCCCTAACCTCAAGAAATCTCTAGTTCTAGACATTTATGCTTTCACTAGCAGACATTGTGGAAATTTCCGAAACTGTATGTCAACCAAAGCAAAGGTCTTCTTGAGAGCTGAGCATAAGGAAATGAAGTTATAAGTACCAACACATAGCACCAATCAATTCCTTCAAGGAATAACTTGTGCCACTCTGTGGTTACTGGGCATATTTTAAACATACTAAACACACCCAAATGGTTTTAGAAGAAGGCGATTTAGGGGCAGTGTCAAGATTAGCACGCCTCCTTCCAAACACACCCAGAAAACAAACAAAGCAAACATCCATTTTAGGCACACCTTACTGATAACACATTTCCTGTGAAGAAAAAAAGTATTATAAAAATATTTTTAAAATATTAAGCTATCAACTCTGAAAGGCTACTAACAGAGCAAAAATTCCTTCCTACATTTTTTCTGGGTTAATTTCTTAAAGGTAGTGCCTTATAAATTAGAAAGGAAATTTAACATATTTTAACCGAAAACTGAGGCATCCATCTAAAACATTTCCATGTGGGCTATTTTCAACTCAAAGTCTATCGGATTTTCTAAAAAATGCAAAATGTTCATAATGTAAATAAAATGTAATTATTTTAGCTTAAGGGATTTAAAAAGAAGGGACCATTTCTTTCTTAACCAGAACACTTTCATATTTTAAAAAATCTTTTATTTTTAAGTCTTAATTTTAGATTTACAGAAGAGCTGCCAATAACAGTACAGGCTCCATATGCCCTTCTCCCGGCTTCCTCAATGCTCATGACATGTACCTATGAGATTAATCGAGATAATAAAATTACCTAAACTACAGACTTTATTCAGATGTCAACTGCTTTCCATGAAAGTCCTGGTTCTGTTCCAGGATCCCGATCAGGATACCATGTTAAAACAGATTTTTTTAGGACTTAGAACTTCTGGAGTCAGGTCTTCTTAGGTAATTTACTATCACCGTGAAAGTTATGCATATACCTTTCATGGAATTTGCTCACATTCCCAGGAGACCATACTTCAACCCAGATAGGCAGGCAAATATTTACTGAGCTCGCTCCAGGCAGAGCTCTGACTATGAAGACCAGGGATCTGGAAACAGCCTGGGGTCAAAGGCCGTACGATTTTCTACCACTGTCCAACTGTGGAAGCTTGGTTGAGTTTACCCGATTTCTGGATTCCTTCATTTCCTCACCTAAAAACCGACGGCAATAAGAGTGCCAACACAAGAACTGCTGAGACTCGAGTGTTAATTCGAGCCAAGTGCCTGGCACGTGGTGAATGTGCAACACGCCACCTGTTAGTGTTACATGATGTGCCTGCCAAGATACGGACTTTGGTTCGATGACAGAGAGGAAAAGAAATCCCATAAATGAAATTTAATTTAAATAATTAAATAACGAAGACCATTTAAATAATAGTACTATGGAATTAGAACACGTTTTCCTGGAATCCATCTCTCCTCTCTATTGTCAAGTATGTAGAAGTCCTTCTATCCATGGGACGCGAGGCTGGGTGTACGAAACCATATATAACAAAGGAATCTGAGTGAGAAGCTACCTTTCCCTACCTCTGTACCCCAGAGACTCCTCTCCTAGCAGAACTGGACAGGAGTGGGAAGGGTGAGAGAGTTCCAGGTAACAGTTCTCAAAAGTGGGAGGGCAGAGAGAAGGCAAGTCCCTGTGGATTTCTGGTTAGGAGGGTGGCCTTTTCTGAGTGGTCACTGCAGACAGGAATATGTAATTTAGAAAACTGCCACGGACTCAAAACTCCACACTCTAGTTCTTAAACATCTTTATAAGATACGAGTCACATACCATAAAAATTCACACATTCAAAGTATACAATTCAATGTCTAAAATGTTGAATGTGCATAAAATCAACTTTCTGGATAGTTTTATTTAAATCAGGTTTCAAATTTCCCAAGGCTGTTGCAACCACTAAATCCTACAGCTTCGACATAACAGGAGACATTCCTACCCTTCTCCTCAAGTTAAAGCAAAACATTCAATCTCTGGTGAAATCATGGTGAAAACATGGGATTTTGCTTACTCTGTTCCTTTGTTTTCTGAGAAAAACCCCAGGAGTGATTCACTGTAGAGAGTAGGACCAATAAAATGGCATTGGTCTGGTCAAGATAGCATAAAATATATAACAAAGTGGAGTCACTCATGTCAACCAACATGGCTGTCAGTCAGCCATGACACTTTGGTTCAAGAAAAAAATACCTAAGTCAGAGCAGACACATCTGGTGACAAGACACACTTAAGATATATGTGAATGTGATCAGAAAAGCCATGTCTGCATAGCAGGACCACCCACAGACAGGCTCCTTGGGAAATTCCCCACTTTCCATCAGGGGTGCCAAGACACTTATCAAAAAGGCCCAGAAGGGTGGAGTACACAACTTTCAAGATATAACTGAGGAAGGCTCCAGACCACTGCAGAGACAGCCGAGTTCCACACACCACAGTGCTGCTCCACGCCACGCTGATCTCCCTTGGCATTGGCCGCTGGAGGGTGTGCCTTGCTGGACTGAGGACTTCATCTGCCCTGCTGCCCACCTGACTCCAGAGATCCTTTCTTGCAGGACGCTGGCCACTCCCTTGCCCACTGTGCTGTCTCCTGGACCTGCAGCCTGAGACTCTGGGACTGGGTTTGTTATCCACCATTGATCGCCGTGTGTGTGTGTTATATTTCTCTTAGATTATTAGAGTATGAGTAGGACAGCAACGTTATGTTGATGTTCTACTTTTTAAATTTATTTATTTAATTGTTGTTCAAGTACAGTTTTCTGTCTTTTACTCCCATCCCAGCCCCCCCCCTCCCCAGTGCTTCCCACCTCCCTCCCATTCCACCCCCTTAGGTTTTGACCATGTCCTTTATACTTGTTCCTGTAAACCCTTCTCCTTTTCCCCTGAAATTCCCTCCCCTCTGGTCCCTATCAGCCTATTCTCAATTTCAGTGTCTTGACGTTCTATTTTGAGTGAACCTGCGTTCAATAAAGCTGAGTGAATAGCATAATTGCCGTGTGTGACTCTTGTCTAGTCCTTCATGCTGGGATGCTTAGCAAGCAGCTAGCTAAGCAGCTGCCTGGCTGACTTAAAGGAAAGACGATGTCACGAACATGCACTCATGACAATCACTTACAATGGTCATGTAATGGAGCATTCGACCATCTACCCGTCCTTCATCAAACTGGGTCTTGTACTGGGGGAGGCCGATGTCATCCAACCATCCTAAAGGAGAGAAATCTCTGTCATTAACGTGCCACAGAAAACCCGTGCTTGTGATTAAAAAGAAAAAGCAGCATTGTTTACTTACTTATTTACAAACTTAAGAATTTAAAACCTCTTACTAGTGACCCAGTTGAAATCCAGCTTTCCGTGATTGGTTTCCTCTTCGGATCCCAGAGCTTGCAATGCCAGCTGGAGCTTCTTTCGATGAAGTGAATGCTTGATTCCAAGTTCCTGAAATAATAAACAGAAACACTGGCTTTACAATTCTGTCAATATGGGCCAGATGCCACTGGCAAAGGATGCAAATTCCTCCAAAATGAAGCCAGCATCAAAAGAGCCAACAATTACATTAAATGAGGATACTAACTCAGGCTAGTAAAAAGTTGCTGAACAACAGGCCCCTCCAAAGCCAAAAATCACCGCAGCTAATTTAGTGGTGTGTGCAACACTTGCTAGTAGGCTCCTCCTTTGCAAGACTGGAACCATAGCAAGCATAAGAGGAATTCTACTCTTATTTTGTGTAAAATGTCAAATAATTGGGAAGAAATGTTGAATAAGGGAACATAAAATGTAGACCTCTTTTTTTTCCCCTTTTGCAAAGTGAAATTGGAGTACATATATTACATTGGGAAGATGGGCTAACGATGAAGCCACGAAATGATTTTGGGAAATACGAGCATAAGATTTATTATAAGGGCTCTGCAATTATTTTTCATTAAGATGTCCAGTGGCTTAAGTGTTTCATAAGGAATCATTACAACCAGGTCCTCTGCTTTTAGTCAATGAAATAAAATAAGCGTGAAGCAGGAAACCCAGACTTTTTCAAGAGCGCTCACTGGCTCGCCCCTTTCCACTCATGGTGCAGAAAACAATCCCACATTCACATGGTCTCTCTCTCTCTCTCAGGACTCATTATGTAAACAGAATAGAGAAGCAGTCACCTTCTCTAGATCTTGTTGAGAAGCCTGCAAAAGCGTCTGGCCAGATGCGATCCAGTGCTTGCCAGAATTCAGGTAGGATCCTAAGCCTTGTTCCATAAGCCAATTGCAAACCTGCTCCTTGGTCCATTTGGCAAATGGCATGTCCAAGTCACTATAAGAAGAAAATGAACAACTGCATGAAAAAAAACAATTCAAAGCCAATCCTGTGGCTTATCATCAAGGTTGAACTGTATATTCAATAGATAGGAAATTTCCTGGTGATACACATTTAACCATGAGAAGCTTAATTATCAGCACATATTTGGAAGAGGAAGTGGCACTGGAGTTGAAAGTGACCTTGTAAGACCACAGTCTTCATTTCAAATGAAACCACAGAAAATTCAATGTGAATTAGCAAAAACATGTTCTACAGAAGACAGTGCTGAACCAACAAGTTTAGTCATTGTACAAGTTTCAACCAATATTGTTTGAAGACTGAATTCCCAAACAGAAAACACTAGGTCCGATTAAAAGAAACTCAAGTCAAACTTGAATTAACTATAGCAGAATTATGGTTTCTCTCCAAATAGTAATCAATGAGAAGAAGGCAATATGCCATCGCCGAATATAAGAAAGTATAATCAAAGCAAATTTCTGCATTCTTTTAAGGACACACAAATAATATTTTTGTTTAAAAGAATGTGATAAGCAAGGCAATTTTTTTTTATCAGCACGAGGAGGTCCTCTACTGTGTACAAAGAGAACATATGGCAAATGAGACGGCTCAGTGTTTGAAGAACGCTAAAGAGAGTTTCCTCGCTGATGAAGCTCAGTTTCTTGCTCGAGTGGGAGGGACCACATTTCAATAACTTTCTAGCCCACGATCACTTGTAAAAGATTTAGCATCAATGCTTTCTGCTCTTTGTTTGCCAGCCCCACCCTTTTTATGCTCAGCAGGTCAGTGCAGCAGTTCCAAACCAGCCCGAACTGTGAGAAAGGTGTAGGAAAGTTTCTTAGAGTCGTGAGAAATTAAACATTGCATGGTCCTAATAAATTTAAGATTTCTGATAGAACTGACACCTATAAGTGCTTTCAGACTCCATTAATCGCTAATATTTACTGAACGGTTATTATTTAGGAGAAACTTAGTGCATATAAACAACCACTGTTGCGGGGAAGGTACGCATCCACACCGTGAGAAACAGAGGTGCAGAGCATGAACACACCTGCTCCAGGCCTCCTAGTGAACAGGCAGTCCTAAGGCCAGAAACCAGACCCAAGCAGTCTGCCTTCAGAACCTGGGCTCGCACACTATACCGATCCCATCTTTGCAAGGCTACGCTTTAGAGTATGCATAATTATTTTCTTTGAAAATCCAAGTCTAATAGTCATTCTAGTACAAATGTTGTGCAGACTTCAGCTGTGGCTCCTCACCTAGCTCACGCAGCCCACACCTTCTGTACAGCTGTTCAGCAAACACTGTCCAATTACACTGCTCTAAAGACGGTGGGCGCTTCCACTAGGCATGGCAGTGAACAGCGAAGTCCATTGTGCGACCCAGGGACAATCCTAACCCTGTAGTTGCTTACGAGGCCCCAATGCTTGGGTATAGTTGTAAAAGTCCATTTGTTTGGCTGTTCTTACCTATTCGATTGTCCCAAATCTCGAGACCAGCCCAGTCGGGGCCCAGCAGTTGCCCTTGTTCCTCCTCTTTTAAACTCAGTTTCAGACATGTCATCTGGGTTGAATGTAGTCGACTGAGTTCTCCTAAGTCTAAAGAGAAGACACATCACACATCACCTTGTATCAGAGGCCTTAGACTTTAATCAGAATATTTTTAACTGGTGCAGACATTTGAACTACTCCTCTTCATGTGTCATTAAAACAGACATTTGGATTTCAACTTTGAGACCCAATGAGTTCATGAATCCCAAATGACAATCTTCCTTCCAGCAGAGGAACACAAACGCTTTATCAGTTCATACCCATTTTCAGCCATTTTTCCATTTATTCTTACATTTGAACAACATATAATGCAAAGCCCATTCCACTTGGTCACTGTTACTTACTTTCCAAAGAGTTTCATGATGCCTCTGGATTTCTTTTTAGAATCGGGAGATGATGGAGATACATGGAAAGGACTGCTCCCCTGGGATTCTTTTGGCCGAGGAGACACACCAGCCAGGTCTAGGTGCTCGGCTGTTTCCTTTTCTGTTTCAGCTACTCCAAGAACAGAATACAGACTCAATGAATTTCAGTATATGAAATGAACATGACTAGGTGTTAGCCTTCTCAGCTTTAACAACTGGTAAGAATTCTTCTATTGATCTACACACCAATGATTTACAAAGAACACCCTGCAAATATTAAAGAAGGAACACAGATGTATGTTCTACTCTATAGTCAAATGTGTGTGTGTGTGTATAGTCAATTAACTTAGAAATTATAACCCCTTTGCGATTTAAAGGTGTGACAGGATTACCCTATTCTTTTCTTGAGTGATTTCATTCATAACAAAATCATTCTCAATCTTGCTATACCATCTGGTACTGTTGACTATCTCCTACATCCTTCAAACTCATCATCTCCTTTGGCTTCTTGCTGTGACACTCTGCTACATCTGTTATCTGATAGTTCCTTCTTTGCGATAGCGCCCTGTTCTCTCTTCCTCCCCAACTCCACTCTATTTCTCTCCAAGATTCTTTCCCAAATTCCCTAGGCAGGATCTTTGAAAAGCTCACCCACTCTATGCTCAGCACCAAATGATGGCCTCACTCCTGGGTGAGCAGCTGGCATCGAAATCTCTAGATCTCACCTTTCTCCCCAGCCTCAGGACCTGAATGCTGTATATATTCCCAATTCACTGTGCCAGGGACATCTTAGACAGTCAAACTTTCTATCCAATTTTCCCGAGTCTTCATTTCCTCACTTAATATTTCACTAATATTAATTAATGCTCTTCTTGTACTCCAGTTCAAACTTTGTCATTTCCTTTTCATTCCTTCCTTGCCTCTGGCATTTATTTCACACCAGTTGCCACATTCTGCCAATTCTTTTTTCAAGAAATTTATTTCTGTTTGTAATCTCTTATATCCTAGGCACTAGGATAAGAATGAGAGAAGAATGAACAGAATGTGTTTAAATTTTTCTTCTGATATAAAATTAGTGCCTGTCGATTGTGGCTCACAAAAATAAGACCCAACTTTGTGGCTCCCAGATCCGCAGGCACCAGCTACTTTAATTTGCTCAGCTGTTCCTTAACAGGTGACCTTGCACGAGCAAATACAAGGGCTACTCCTTTAACTCGAGGCTTTACGCTTTTCTAGAGGAAAGTAAAAGTTGTATAGAAATCACAGCAGCAGTGTCTCAGGGAGATAAGAAGGGTGTAGGGGTTGACTTTTCTAGGAAGCGGAGCTGTGGTTACAGATTATAGGAAGCAGCATTTGGCTCTTAGCACTGACAATACCTTTCTTTGGAGAAAGGTAGCAAAACATTTGAAAATAGTTGTCTGAATCAGTTGAGTTTATTTATTCAGTGTTCATTCTAGACATTTAAGGCTGAAAAGAGAGAGGAGTCGCCTCTGACGATCCACGTGAACAGGTACGTGGACATCTGCCCAAGGTAACAGACCTGCTGAGAAAACCCAACGGGGCCTTCCCATTCGAACGCTACAGCCTCGGTGGGTGCTGGCGTCCCTGAAATGTCGCCCTCGTTTTGAAAGCATCTCATTTTTAGTTTTAGGATTTTTTTTCCTCCTGTACCTTGCCTTTTAAAGAGGAAAACTGAGCTTCCTCCTCCTAAAATTACTTTGGAGACAACTCCCCAAATAACACATAAAGTTATCTGTGACGTGACTAAATGTGACCTCCATCTTCAAAGCAATAAAATGTCAGAAGAACATTCTCCCAAAAGAAGTCAGTCTAAAAAACTATTTTCAATGTCTTCCACAGGCATCTCTATTTGGCTAAAAATATTTCTTTCTGGAGCCTGCGGAAAACGGAAACATGAAGGAACTGCAAGGACCTGGGCGTTAGCGTGAGAGGAACTGTGCTTCAGGGGGTGAAAGCCGGACTTCGCAATGCAGGACACGCCCGCCTGGCTCTCCGAGGGACACTGGGCATCTCTGGATCCCCCGGAGCTGCTGGCAAGGTGGCATTAGCATTGCTTGAAACGGCGTTTCTGCTTGGAAGCAAAGGTTCTACAGAGAGTCCTTTTTAGCAGAAGGTGGAAAGAACACTCTGGAGTAGAGAACTACATTTCTGGACCGCTGCCAGCTCGCTTTCTAAGATGCCAAGAGCAGGGATTAGCTCGGCTGGGAGAGCAGTGCTGGCCAAGGCTGGCATGCAGGGGTACGGTACCTAGGGTGGGTGCACTGGCACTTCGTTTACGATCTTCAGGGATCCCAACAATGCACACAATCACACGCAGCCCCACGGAGAGAACACGGGAACGACAAAAGGAAACACAGGTCAGACTCCTACTCCCAAAATATACACAGTGGGAGGGAAGGCTTCTGGCATTGTACACAGAATCCATCGACAGTGTCAACATGGGGTTAATGGATCCACAGGCAGGAAGCTGTTTATGATGAAGTCAGAGAAAATTGGTCTTCTGTTTACACCCCAGAACGGAGCACAGGGGGAGACGCTACACAGCGCTACCTTCATACCACTGAATCAAATCCACAGAAGCATTTTTTTTTTTTTTTGCTAATTTTCTCCCTACATCATTCACCTTCATTTCTGAGAAAGAGAAATGTGTAAACAGATAAATAAGGGAAAGGAAGAGACTGTTCTCTTCCTTGTTCTGACAGAAGTAAGGCAAAGACATTCTGGCCATTCGTACCCAAATTTGGTGCGCTTGCTGTCCTCTTGTTACTTTTTATTTTAAAAAAGCCACGGCCAAAGGAAGATCTGGCCTTTCGGGTGCCAAAGGGGTTGTCATCCGCAGAGGCATCGTGTCCTGGAGGTTTGGGGGGGAGGCTGCCGGCCAGAGCTTTATCCTGGGAGGGAAGCGAACGTAAATGAAACACGGCACTAACACGCGTAGTTATCAGTATGTGCCAGGCACAAGGCCCAACACATTATGCACGTGACTTCATTCAAAAGAGTAAGGAAGCCACTTAAGAAACAACAACAAAAATAGGCCATTGCTAACCTACACTCCGCGTGTCTAAGCGTTAGGGATTTTACATATGAGGACGGATAGAGAAATGCTTGAATATTATTTGACTCATTCTCCAAAAAAACATAGAGACACAAACCTAACACAGCAACGGACTTCTTGCTTTCCCAACAACTATGACATGGATTAGGCTACAATACAGTTCTCATTCATCATAATATAACCATGTCTATAAGGTCAATGGAACATAATATTATTCTCCAGAGTAGGCATTAGTTTCAAGCTTCTATACAGGTAGTATAAGATGACTGTACTCCAACTATTTTAAATATTCTTCTCAAAGAATAAAATAAAGGCCTAATTAGTAACTGTTTAAAATATATTTTTAAAATGGGTTTCTAGGACATATTCGTACCTTGCTTGGGAGATACCATATTTGATCAACAATTTTCAAAAACTGGGATACATTCAGATACACTTAACTAAAACTAAACTCGATATAATTAATTTTTTCTTGGTTGATTCAGAAGCTACTTCAGATTTCTACAATATTTCAAGGTCTTTACCATGAACTTCCATTGTGATTAACTTATGCTTTTCAATGCTGCTTATTTTTTGAGCTTTCTGAATCGGCAATTCCAGTAGCATGGTCTTTTATGTTGTCTCAGCATTATACAACAATGCCTTTGTTTGGATGTTCTCATTTCTCTAACACCTTTTGTCCTCTGTTTCATTTTTTTTTGCAGAGGTGGAAAGAAAGGCAAGGGACATAAGCTTTTAAGGTGGTTGGTTCTTTTATCTCTATTGCTAAAGAAACTACAAGTTTACAGATGCCACAATTTAGCGGCACTAATACATCCATGTCTTTGCACTGATGTCAGAATCACTCAAGTATAGACCTGACAAAGCAAAAGGAACCGAGGGTGACTTCCATCACAGCCACATTCGCTGTCTGTGCTTCGTCAGGTATACCTACATATGACTCAAGGCACGGAGAGACCACAGTCAAGAGCCTGCAGCTGGAAGTTGTCTGTCTACCAGACAGCAACCTTTGTGAGGCGAAGGACTGAAAATCAGAGAAGGAATGAAGAACCAGAGCCCACACCAACAATGTCTTTAAAATAGCAAGCGCTTGCTGTGCAGGTGGATGGTTGGTGTGTAAACTAAACTGCTGGCTATCTAAGAAGGGCTTTGTGTGAGGTCTAAGTGTGGCATTTGTTTTTGTTTTCCCAATAACCTATGGGGGTGAAGTTCGTGTAACATAAAAGTAACTAAATAGCTCAGTGACATTTAGTACATTCACGATGTTGTGCAAACACCCTCCTGGATCTGGTTCCAAAAACTCCTCCATTACTCTAAAGTAAAATCTCTCACCCATTAAGCAGCTTCTCCCCCTTCCACTCTCCTCCATCCCCCGACAACCCCCAAATGATGTGCTGTCTCTATTAATTTATCTATTCTGAGTATGTCACATGAATGGAATTGTATAATATGTGATCTTTTGTATCTCACTTCTTTCACTTAGCATAATTCTGAGAGTTTGGGTTTACTGGATGCTTTAGCAATCTAAAACATTTTTACATTGTAATCTGGACATAAAAATTACCTCTGAAGGCTTCTGAATGGGCTCCTTTTCCTGTTCAAAACAACAACAGTTAAGGTTGTTAGAGGAATCCTTTATATCTTCAAAATTTGTCACATGCAACTCCACAAATTATGATAATTTACATATATATATCCCAGCTATAAAATCTGTTTTATTTCTTTCTGAGAATATTTTATTATTAAAGTATCTGGTTTTGGTTTTATGTACTACTTTCGATCCTTCCTATCATACTTCTTGATATTTATCCTTAACCATGGTATCTAGTAATTTTCCGTTAGAGAAACCACAAGCTCTTCTTAAGAGTTGTATTTGCAAAATAAAAAAAGATGAAGATCTCTAAATATTTTCTTCTCAGGATAACATAAAAAAACATAGCACCAACCCCATCTGATGACTCTTTCTTCAGATTGCCCAGGCTGCTAGACTTTTGAAGACTTGAAGTTCTAAAAATAACAATAATAATAATAATTAGAATTAATAAGAAGTGGCTCTGGTGCCACTGTTTTTAAGTAGAATATCTTGGAAAGAAACAAAAATTGTGTGTGGGTTGAATCCCGGTAATAAAAGAAAATCTGGATTCAGGCGGTCACTTATGTGCTTAAGTAAATGACAACATTTAGTTCTTTTAAAAGCAGGGTGGTTAACTGTCCTGCCAATAGCTCTAAATGTCCTGCACATGTTTGAGTAGCTGGAAAAACACTTAGGACCATCCTTGTGATGTCAATATTTGAAAATTAAAACCAGTGTTTTCCACGGCCTAGTGCTGGATCCTGTGCATGCGTACATGGACGCCAGGCACTTTTTAAGTACTCATGTGCTATTTATATATAACCCTTCTAATTAAAGGATGAAAATTTTACTTTTCAATTCATAAAGAAATCAGTTATAATTTCTGAGTCTGACAGACTTCTTCATTTTATCATTCTGATCAAAGCACGACAGAGGAATCCCTACTCCTATCCATACAATTCCCTTGCTGTCCTGCAGGAGGCCAAGAGGCGCTGTAAACATTGGGGACATTCTCTTTCCCATAATTGGCCTTCAGTCGGACAGAGCTGGTCTCACTCAAACCTGAAGGGAGGAATATGTGACCAGTCCAAAAAGAGAGAGAAAAAAACAATACCTTTGCTCTAAGAAAAAGTATAAATACACAGACTTTTAAAAGGCATTTCTCATGTGTAAATAAGTTGTAGAAGGGTTGACTGCCAAATAAAGTAAAAGATAATGGTAAAAAAGATCTCATCTCTGAGTACTGCTCAAAAAATAGATTTCCCTAATTTAATCCAGACTTTAACTTAGACAAATGCAGATACTAGGTCAGTTTATCAATTTGAAAATGAAAAAACCCACTGTAGTCTTTCCAGCCATCACAACATTCTCTGGGGTTCTTTTCTGCGAGATTTAAACTATATCTGCACAAAGATAAAATTACAAGCACTGAACTTCAGATGAAAACTGGTGAAGGCGGCCATGGTCTACAGCTGGGGTGTCAAACTCATTTGCACTGGGGGCCACATCTGCTTGCAGCTGCCTTCAAAGGGCTGGATGCAGTTTCAACTCCTTCACACTTAAGGAGCAGTTACATTTACACAGTCCTAAAATTACATTTGGTCCTTTGAAGGCTGATGTGGCCCCCAGTGAAAATGAGTCTGATGCCCTGCCCTCCAGGAACCTGAAACCAGACAATGCTAAATGAGCAAGTATTTCTTTGTTACCTCATACTGCCCTCCCCAACCCCCGCCCACCCTCAATCATTACAGTTGCATCCACTCATTCAGGCCTCAGAGTCGTTCATGCTCCATATTGGTCATGGTGAACTTAACAGAAGCTTCCTCTCTCCCAAGTACCAATCACACTTTTTACCTCCAATCACTTAAAACTTACGAAAGACTGTCACACAGCTGGGTTTCAACAGCAGCACCAAGGATTCTTTTTCCATCACTAAAATTTAAAAAAATAGTACTTATGAGTTTCATGAAGAGAAGACCACATATATCCGAAGTGAATAGACTTGTGAAAACAACTGTGCAAAAAAGCTGTTTCTTTGTTTTTTTCCTTTTTTGGATATTCTATTTTATTTTATTTTGTCTAATTGTAAGATCAGGCATTTAAGTTGGGAACTTGTTCCTCCAAAATCCTATTTTTCTGTGCAGAAACTGTGGTGTCCCTGTCCTGGCCCCTCCATAGCCAAGTTCAAACAGCCTCAGGCATGTGACTGTCACTATTCTGCTTGCAACCGTCAGTGGGCCACCCAACACCCAGTGCCTCACCCTCATCTCTGATTACTTCTGGCTTCACACCTTTTATTTCAATGACACAAAACTGATTGTGGCTCACGGGCATGTGTCTTGCTGATTCTTGCTTCTCTGGGTAAAGAACTGTGTCTATAAATAACTGTAAAGTGCCCCTGCTTTTGCATGATCTACTCTCCTCAACATTTATACAATATTTGTAACATTTAGACATAACTGACATACTTCTCCTCAAATGAAGTCTCTGACTTAGGAGGCGATTTTGCTTTTTCAGAAGTTTCCAAGCCTTTAGATGATGGTGATAATGAAGGGGTTGAAACCTGCAAGATGCCGGTGTGGAACTGTAAGACAACAATAAAAGTCAAAAGTTAATCTACCACACAAAACACAAGCCAAGAGTACAAAAATTCAGGACGTAAACATCTAGAATGTGAATTGGAAAAACTTTCTGGAGGAAGGTCATTTTTGAACTTGGTTCTGAATAAGACACTGAATATTGTACGACATAATAAGTACCCTTAAGTTATTAATACAACAGTAAATCCTAACAACTTTAAGTCCTGGTTGAGATCTCAGCTCTGACAAGGCGTAAGTCACCAGTTTTCTCCTCTGTGAAATGAGAATGAAGCCCTGGCCGGTGCGGCTCAGGTGGGCGGGAGTGTCATCCCATACACCGAAGGGTCTTCTTGGGCTCAATCCCCAGATGAGGCACATGGTAGGTTGCAGTTTTGGTCCCTGGGCGGGGCATGTACGAGAGGCAACCAATGAATGTTTCTGTCTCACACTGATGTCTCTCTCCCTCCCTTTCCTTCTTTCTAAAATCAATAAACATCCTCAGGTGAGGATAAAAAAAATACAAATAAAATGAGAAAGACAATGCTACATCACAGGACTGCAATGATTGATGAGAGCTGGGTAAAAATGCTTTATGAACAAAGCGCTATTTTCACTTTTGTTTCTACCACTAGTCTAAAAGAGAATGTTGGTCAAACCACTTAATTACTACTCTATGTGTGAACAAGCTGACTCACTTCAATTAACAGAATTGATAGAAAGTATAATGAAAACAACTTATAATGTACTTTTGGATATACGACTTAAAACACTTTGCTTAATTGTAATAGTATTACAGCAACAACAACAAAGACAAATAAACAAAAACATACAATATTTTTCCCAAACAAATGCCTTGTATAGCCTAAGGATGGACCCTGTGAAAGAATTTGTATACTCTGGTTTTCAATAATTTCTGATAACTGTAGAGCAGTTACATTGTAGGCTACATCATGAACAAATAAATGAAAGGTTAAAAAAATATTCCAGTAAAAAAACACACAAAACTCATCTCAGTGAGTTGACTCACTTCTCCAATCAACCAATCCATGATTCACTCCTGGAAGTCAGCCAGCCAATCAGGGAGGGACTGCAACCAGCAAACACGCTTCTGAAGGCCACCCAGTCAACAATGGTCTCACCTTTACACCCACATGCCACTGCTGCCAGCTCACCCCTGCCTCCGAAAGCCCACCAATCCCTGAGCTCTGAGCACCCTAAAAACCCTATGTATGATCAGCTTGGACAGAATGTCCTTGACCAACAAAGTTCACTTAACTTAAATAACCAATAGATTCAGTGTCACGATATTTGATTCAGTTACTGTGTGATGGTCTCATCCTTTGACACCATAAAAGGTTACAAAATGTGGAGTCTGTTACAGTAACCAAACTGGGCCCAAGAGAGTGTGGGTATTGCTAAGCCCCTCATTGGCAAACCTGAACTTAACTAAATTTCTGCACTCAGCTCCCCAGAAAAGGCAGGCCTAGGTCAGCCAATCAGTACGTGCTTGCTCCTACAATTTGCCCAATGGGGCTCCAAGACCTCCCTTTGCTCCCGGTAAAGAAAGCAACCCTCCTCTAACCAACCAGCAAATGCCAGGTATGACTTCCCTGTTCCTGCTCCCTTCTACAAAAAGCCTTTCACTTTGTACAGCTAATTGAGTCTCCTTTCTGCCTCCTAGATTGGATGCTGCTGGATTCGTGAGTTGCTGAGTAAAGCCAACAAGAACTTTCAAATTTACGCAGTCCAATTTTGTTCTTTAATAAGTCATATTACTATTATTCCACTATCATTTCTTTTGCAGTTTGGATCTTTATGGTTTACCCTGGGCAACTAATGTAGCCATCCTTCCAATTTCCTGAAGTTCTTATCTCCTTGGGTTCCTCATCATGGGAAAAAAAACCTCCACTAGCAGACCAATTTTCCTTTCAAACTTTAGGGCTTTAAATTCAATCTCGAATCTCTCTCCCAGCTTTTCCTTAAAAATGAGGCTGAACACCATCAATCCTCATTAAATCATTCTTGTCCTGAACTAAAAAAAAATTGTCATTACCCCCACGGCACACCTAGCAAAGGCCTGTGGTAAGGATACGAGATTCCCTGGGCATGTCGACCTGTAACAGCAGCCTCTCTACGAACGCAGCACACTTGGAGGCTGTCGAATGGGATTTTCCCCTTCATTATAAATGAATACTTAGCAATCGGGGAATTTTTTCCTCTGAAATATTTCTTATTCCTTAACTAATTCCTTTTTCCCCCAACTTAATTGACATATAATTGACATACATCACTAGATAAGTTTCAGGTTTATAGCATAATGACTTGACTATCTTCTATTCCTTGTGATGAAAACTTTTAGGATGTACTCTCTTAGCAACTTTCAAAGACGCCACCCAGCAGTGTTAATGACCGTCAGCTGGTTGTTCATTGCACCCCCAGTACTACTTACCCCAGAACTGGAAATGTGTGCTCTCTCAGCACCAACGCCCCGCCCACCACCACGAACTCCTTGTTAACGACATATTTTAGCCCTCGCTTATATTTAAGTGGGACATGTTCACTGTTTTCTCCTTGAATTCATCCTCATTCAGTTCAAATTTTACTTTCTCATTCTATAATTATCAGCAACAGATGTAAAAGTCAAGATGCCACTGGCTGTCCTCTCATTACTGACGGTAGATGCCGCTGGCTGTCCTCTCATTACTGACGGTAGAATGGTGGGGGGCAGAGATGCCCGAAGGAGGGACTGTCACACGTTCAGGAGGCAGCGCTGCTTTGTTCAAAACACAACTGTTTCCCACCCCTCGTCTCTCCGGACAGCACAGAACACGAGAAGTAAGAAAAGGATTCAGGGTGCTGTCAGGAAAACTGTCTTAAAGTGAAGACATGTGTGGCTTTATTAAGACCTCAGGAAGATTTAAGGCAGTGCTGTTCTACTGAACCCTTAAAAAGACCCAAAACCCTAAAAATAAAAAGATACCCCCAGCAGCCTTCCAGGGACCTATGGTAGAGAAGGCTTATTGTGAGGGCGTTTGTGGATATGTTTTTATCTAATGGAGGGAATAACAAATTGACTCCTAAGAAATTCTAAGTGTTTCAAACTGTAGCAAATTAGACTAAAAGGGACCTCTGTCCCATAAGACTAAAAAGTCTCCGGTCCCATACAGGAGAAAACTACAGAGGGCTTTGGACGTATACAGACACTTTTACAGAAAACCACTATCTGCAAACACAGCTTCCGTCCTGTGGGAAAGGAAGGATGGCTCTGAGGGAAGAACCAAGAGTCCAGAGGACCGAGTCCTAATAAAGGAACTGGCACCACGCACCTGGCTGGATCTTGGAAGGGCTACGAACTAATGACACCTGTGTGCCTCCTGCACGCCTGTTTTTTTAAAATGAGGGAGCCTACAGCACTTACACCGTACCTACCCCACTCCTGTATGCCAGGTGTGTGGGGGACAGAGAGGCTGTCCCTTAAGTTCCCAGTTCATAAAACTGAATGCAATGGTACCTAAGAAACAGCCCAAGAATATTCGCCTGAGGAGCTTCACCTATGTCTTGGCCTGCTGTGGGTGACAAGTTCCTGAGATGCTGGTGCCTAATTGGAATGAAACCAAGGGGTCTTCGGAGAGGGGCTGGGTATACTGTGCACGGGAGAGGGATGTAAACTATTGTAGCCAGAGAGTGCAGGGGCAGACTTATTTTCCAAATATAGCTGCACCAATATATGCCATCTCCCATGTCCCTATAGTGTGATATTGCCACTTGTCCATCAAGAGGTTAAGGGATGTTTCCTCTCTGTGAATCTTGGTGGGCCTGTGACTACAGGAGGGGGGGATGCCACGTGACTTCTGAGACATGTCACAAAAGGTGGTACAGATTTGCCCAGCGTTGTACTTGGGATGCTCATCCTCAGGACCCAGCCACCACACTGTGAGGGAGCCAAGCAGTCACACGCAGTGGTTCTGGCCAGGACCTCCACTGGGGTCCCAGCTGACAGCCAGCCTCAACCAGCAGACAGATGAATGAGCAGCCCTCAGGTGACTCAAGTTCCCATCTTCACGCCACTCCGGCTGCGGCCATGTGGAGCAGAGACCAGACGTTCCTGCTGAGTCCCGTCCAAATGGGTGTTTGTCAGCAAAATAAACGTCATTCAAGACACAAAGTTTCAGGGTGGTGTGCAACAGATAACAGAAAAAGGTATCGGTGGCAATTCGATGGGTAAGTAAATAGTTTAAGACTTTATTCCCCTCCAGTTGCTTCTTCTGGATCTGAAGAAGTCAGATGGAATTTTATTCCATCGCCTTTCATAGGTGCCTAAAACCAATTTCTTTATGTAATCTCACTTATCTCCACTTTACTTATTCCCTACTTATTCCCCACTTACATATATGTGGATTATAATCCCATATTTAAGATGACACCTACCTCCAAGGGATTCTCATGTTTTTCCTGAATATATAAACAATTTTGACATTGCCCAGGGCATTTGCTAAAAAGAAGGTAAAACCCACCCATTTCACATGACAACCTGCTGGACACAAAAGCTGCCAGGACACCCCAGTCAACAGTCAGACGGAGAACAAAGCCCACGTCTTTCCTGCTGTCGACGACAGCACTTTCACGTTCAAAGGCACCATCTCTGCAAGGTGAAGACAACACCGAGAGTCTGCCAATACCTCTTCCGGAAGACTCGTGTTGAACGGGTCACGACTGGGAGAGCCCGTGACAGGCGTAGATGACAGGCTTTTCTCCAGTTCACCGAAACCCTGCGCGTCCGGCAATGTGGAGATGGAACTGGAAGTGAGCGGCTCCTCATAGTCACCCTCCTGGCCTAGGAAAAGAGGAAGGACCACAGCCAATTTTCATTTATATTTCACTTTATGGGAAGAATCCCATATGAATTAAATGTAAAAAAAAATTTTGAGTCTCAAAAATCAAAAGAGTCAACTTCTGGCACCCCTTGAAAAACAACATGGGACCCAGGAAACATCCAGAACTGCAAGCACCTGACGGGCCCAGGGGCTTGGGCCACCTGCGTAGCCAGCAGTGGTGTGAATCGGTCCTGGTGTCAGCCGGTGCAGTCACAGGCTCTCAAAATTGAAGCTCAAAGTTAATTCAGCTCAACGATCCGCCTATAATTTTGTTTTGAAATTTGGAGCTTTACAAAATTCAGTTTAGAAATAACCAGGCTGAGGAATATAGTGGTTCAACAAACTGATTCTGAACAGCAACAGGGTAACCATTTAAACAACTTGGTTTTATTGTTACTGCGCTCTGGAAAGAGGAAAAAGAAAAGGAGAAAAAGAGATAACGACCTTTTGATCCCAGAAGAGGATCCTTTTTGTTTCATTTTAAAGCAGAAAGAACAGCCTAAGGAGGAAAAGCAACCACATATCCATCAGAGCAGCAACGTGGAGAATTTTTCACGTCTCCAGAAATGAAAAGGGTTGCGTGTGTGGAATGACACAGTGGCAGGGGCGCCTTTTTAAAAACACAAAGAGTGATGTTTAAAACTCTGACCTCTGAATACAAAATGATAAACCAAACACTTTTTAAAAGATATTAAATACGACATAGCTTCTTAGATTTACTTAGACTTCCATTCTCATTCTATTACAATTTAGGTTGTATTAGGACTGTGTGAGAATTAACTACATAAATATAAATTATAAATCCTAATGAGAAATCACTGTTAGGTGACTTTACCAGAATAGGGTATCATTTCGAATGGTTTATGAAAATCTGTCCTGTTGGACATGGTTTAAAACTAGCTCCTTTAGTGACACATTTACATGCTTAGAAAAAAGATTAGAATACAGGAAAATGCCCACAGTGATCATGCCAGTGTAATTATAACTGATCTTTACCCCTTGTCTCTACTTTTAAAATATTTTATAATAGGGCCTAATTATAGGAGTTAATCTGTTCTTCTTTGTTTTTTAAACACAAAAATTAGTGTTGAGATTCTATAAAATTAAACAATGTTTCACATGCTATACCTGTGTAACCACTAACTACTGGAAAGTCTGCAATATTCCTTAAAGAGAGGCTCTTCTGAGGACATAGAGATGCAGAGTGATGAGAACTGCCATCAGTCAGTACTGATACTCAGAAGCACACTCGTTCATTCAGATATTTATAAAGTCTTAATATAAGCCAAGACCTGTGAACAAAAAAAAAATCCCTTTTCTTTTTTTTTCAAATTGTGGTCCAAAGCAAGAGTTTCTTTGTAAACTCATTAAAATTAAAATCTCAAAATTTGAGTGTTTCATGACTACCTTCCAGGAGGCTTATTAATTTGCAGCACTTACATGAGAGCAAATAATCCCATCGATGCAGCGCTAATAAACAAGAGAACTTTTAAAGTTCGTAACACTTTTGTTTGTTTTGAATGACTGCCAGACGTTTTTCTACATTTGAGGACAACAGACTGGCCTGTCTACAGATAAAATAATAATAAATACAATAAATTACATAACTATCTATACTGAGATGTCTTACAGGTTTTTTTTTTAACTAGACATATTCAGAGACGAACACAAGCCCACTCCAGTGCCCCTCCCCTAGGCTTTGCTATCTTGGTAAATGGAACTATGATCCTGCGAGTTGCTTTAGTCAGAGATCTTTCTTGATTCTTTCCTCTTCTTCACTCTCCTCCTCTAATTCAACACATCCTCACATTGATTCTAACACCAAAATGTACTTCCAACTGGTGCCATCGGACCTTCCACTTGGAATACTGCAAGAGTCTCTCAAATAGCTTTCCTTCCTTCCAACAAGGCTCTCCCCACTGCGGTCCGTGTGTTACAAGATCTTGTTGCTGACTTGTTAAACCTCCTTAGTGAATCCCTCAGGCCAAGTAAGACCGAAACTCCTCACCTAGTTGGTACTCACCTCTATGATCTCATCTGCCCCCACCCCAGCCCTACCTTCCAGGGACACTGGTCTTTTACTTTGCAAACACACCAACTTCTCTGCATCCCCGCATGCCCACAAAGAAAGGTCTAGCATGTGTCGCTGTACTCTCTCTCTGGAATGCTACCTATTGGGCCCCTGAGACTCCCTGACCAACCAATCAGCTGCAGTGCGCTCTTCAGCCTCCACACTTGTGGGCAGAGAACAGATGTGTCTAACAATATTGTTGAATGAGTGAATGAGCTATCTAATTTGGGATGGTGGACATGCTCCATAAAAGAAATCGAGGCCAAATATAAAAGATCACGGCCACTAAAAATCAAGCTGGGTAGAAAAACACTACCTTTTTTACCCTGGGCCAGTAATACCGCATCCTGCATCTTCTTGTACCTGTTCAGGCACTGTCGAAGATCTTCTATTTTCCGATCCTGTTAATAAAATAAACGATCATCATTAACACTATGGTTTTAAAACAATACAATATTTGCAACACAAAGATAAGTAGACGTGAATTATTTACATGATTCAAAGAATACTTCTAAACTTTAGTAAAACAGGTAATATCTAGAATATGTTTCCTACGTACATCAGAGATATAGAAAAAGTACCTCTAAATTTAGAGATCCTATCCTTCAGCTGCCATCTTTAAAAAACAAAAACAAAACAAGGTAATAAGATATAAAAAAATAAGAAAAAAATCAACTTTAATCACTCTTCTAACTTATATGTCAAGTCATATACCTGCTGTCTTTATCAGCTGTCCTTAGTCACCACCCGGCCTTTCCTGCCTGAAAACAATGAAACATTTTATCGTTTTTCTCATGTGACCTCATTTGGCACTTGGTTGACTCCATCCTTCCCTTCCTCTTCTACTTTTCTTTCCACTCTTTTCTTCTATTTTGATTTCTTAATCCCCTGACCAGGTGGATTTTCTAACTCTGTAACCCTCACTGTCTACCTGACCCAGACAACAAAATACAGACCTTTCAGGTTTTGTCCATTGCCCCTCCTTGTTTCCCACGCCCTCACTGTGGTGGGTTATAAAAATGAGCTCCCCAGCTTCTCTCACACTGATTTTGGGCTTGACCCTCTGACTCACTTGGGCCAACAGGATATCAACAAATGTGGCTTAAGCAGAGGCTTGAAAAGTATTTGCACAGTGGGGCTTGCCCTCTCTTGCTGCTCTAGGGCCACTATGTGAAGAAGAACAGGCCAGTCCACTGGAAGATGAGAGACCATTTAGAGACAAGAATCTCAGCTGGGGCCAACACAGATCAGTCTGCCAATCACCAGACTGGTCCAGGTGACTGAGCCCCAGATGGTGCGCATCGCACCATCCTATGCCACACTGCCCCGTCCCAGTTACCGGCTAACTGTGAGATCGGCTAAGCCAGCCCATCCCAGAAGAAACGCTTAGCCAACCCACAGAAGCACGAGAAATAATAAACGTGATTTGTCATGGAGCAAAAGCTGATACACCAACTGTAGTTTAGTCGCCACCAATCTACAATTAACCATATATTTCTCCTAAAATTGATGAGATTCGCTCTCCACCAATCTATAATTCTATATTAATCCTATTGTTGAGATTTATTTGCAACTTCCTATGAGAAATCTCCTTTCAGATGCCCCATGAACACATCAAACTGAATGAATCTAAAACAAAGCCCATTATTTGCCCCCAGGACTTTGGCCTCTGCTCGGATGCCCTTAACTCTTGCAGGACATGCATCATTTCCCCATTGACCCAACCAGAAACTTACTCTCAAGTCCAAAGATTTTAAAACCTTGTTATGCTGTAAATTTCTCTAAAATATTTTTTCTCCTTAACACTTCATTGCCATTGCCTTCTTTCAACCCCTTTTCCTTTCTCACCTGTGTTATTTTAACAGCTTCTCCACTGCTCTTTCCATTCCCTCCTCCCTCCCTTGCTCTTGCCTCCATCCTGCCACCAGAGGGAGCTTTCCAAAATAGCTACTTAACCATGTCGCTGTCCGAGGCCTTCAGCCTAAGCCCCCAGATCACTAGCCCAGCGTGTAAGGTTGCCTACCACTCAGTGCGGCTCTCCGGTCACCTCACACAGCCCTCCAGCGCCATGTCGTGTTCCTGAACTTTCCCAGTTTGCCCTGGGCTGTTTCAAGCCTTGGTTTTGAAATACATTTTTACACATGGATCCTTTGCCTAGAAGCCTCCATTTTCCTGATGACCAACTCTTGCTATTCCTCAGAATTCACTCAAATACGCCCCCTTTGAGCCTTCTGAAACCACTGAAATCCTGTGTCACTCCTGGGGAACCTACAGCTGCTTGGGCACCCAGTGAGCCCTCATTCGACTTCGGGAGTTGTGTTTGTTGTTGCTTTTTGAGGGAGAGAAATGAAAACAAAATGAATGTCAGTGATTTTTTTCAAATAAAAGTTATGTGGGTAGCTTGCTAATGACTTTCATTTTCATTCAATATTAGGAAAGACCAGCAAGAAATATATATTTGTGTGTGTGTGTGTGTGTGTTAGTCACAATGAGTTTCTTTCCAATAGAGAACAAATAAAGAAAATGAAAGGCAAAAATAAATCAACAAGTAAAACAGAATAGGTGAGAATTAGAAAAAGAATATTTATGTATATGTATACGTATGTGTATATGTATGTGTATGTGTATGTGTGTGTGTGAGAGACAATGAGTTTCTTTCCAATAAAGAACAAAGAGGATGAAAGGCAAAAATAAATCGACAAGTAAAACAGAGTAGGCAAGAATTAGAAAAAGTAACTTATGATGGGAGAAATAGATCAAGACAAACTTTGTGGGCATTGCTTGGTTTTTACTTCCTTGAAATCACTCTTCTCTTGGGAAAATGCCCCTTGTTCTGTTCACTTAGGGACCTGAGGAGAGAGCAGTTCTGATGACCGGAGCTGGACCCGAGGGCCAGCTCCCTTGGACCGCGGGTCTGTAGGACCGCGGGTCAGGAAAGCCACGAAGAAACACATTTCCCCGGGTGGGCCCTGCCGTCAGCAGGATGAAGGGAGGACAAACCACCGGGGGAAACGAACTCCTGGACCCGTGGTGCTGGGCCATCGGGGCTAAAACGAAGCCTGGGCCACACTGACTTCACGGCGCCCAGGTCTCTCTTTTTGGGGTCTCACCACTCAGGGGAGCAGAGACAAACAAACTATCCCAGATGTGAAAGAGGTCAGGAGTACGGAGGAAATTCTGGGTTGGCCAGAAAGTTTGTTTGTTTTTTCCCAGAAGATGGCTCTAGTAGCACTTAGTTGTCTTTAACTTCATTTGAAACCATTTTGTTAGACTGTATCGTGCGTGACAGCTGTCATTGCAGCATGAATTTGAGAAAAACTTATCAAAACTGGTGAAATTTTATGTACCATTTTAATATTGAAGATGGAAGAAAGTAAGCAATATTTTTTGGCATATTATGCTTTATTATTTCAAGAAAGGTAAAAATGCTACTGAAATGCCAAAAAAGATGTGTGCAGTGTATGGAGAAGGTGCTGTGACTGAGGGAACGTGTCAAAGTGGTTTGTGAAGTTTCATACTGGAGCTGTCTCACCGGACGATGCTCCACAGTCAGGCAGACCAGGTGAAGTTGGTAGCGATCAAATTGAGACATTAACTGGGAACGACCAATGTTACGCTATATGGGAGATAGCCGATATACTCAAAATACCCAAATCAATCACGTTACTGGTGAAAATGAAGAATGTGTCTTTCACTTTACAGAAAAAAACTGAACGGACTTTTTGGCCAACCCTGTAATACCATCTGCAGAGAAGACAGCATGGCCACGAAGCTGAAGCGGAAAGCTGCCCTGGGCTGCCCCCTCCAGGGTTCACGCAGCAGCCCAGGGTTGCCAGTGACCACCGAAAGGATGGACTGTGCACTGTATCTTTCCTCTCATTCGTCACCTGGACATGGAGAACTGATTCAGAGCTCAAACGTTTTCTGAATTCATGGGGGAAGGGGAGAGAATCAGAGAATCATCAGTGGTGCCAGCACTGCGGGTCTCTGTCCCTGCAGGTCTCTGTCCCTGCAGGCAGCCACACGCCTGTGACTGCTGACCAGGGCACACTGGGCAAGAAGGGAGAACACTTGCTCTTTAATGTATGCAGTGTATATGGTGTGTCCTTTCAAACTGCAGTAGGTAGCTCAAGAAAGTGCATGGAATGACCCAAATGCTATAACACGTACAAATAAATATTTAAATTACATCTAGATACCTTTTCTTCATTTGCTGCCATCAAAGACTCCACAGCCTTTTTCATTTTTTGTACTTCAATATCTGAAAATATCACAACATCAAACAAATCAGAAGTCAGGTCAGGTGACGTGTGACAGTAACGAGAAGCTATTGACTCTTCCGACTGAAACATTTTAGAACAAAGATATAACCGACTTGTTTTCTTGGTTTGTTTGTTTTTAAAATGTACCATCCACACTCTCTTTTCCGGAAAATCTGAAAAGTGGACACTTCTGTCTGACCTGAGTAGTCACCATCCCAAAGGACAATGAAGGTTTTCAGTGAGAGCTCACTGCCCTCTCTCAAAGCAACAACAAAACCTTCATGAGAACAATTAAGATGAAATTTCAGTGCTATAACAACAAAAACAGAGTTTTCAAAAAAGAAACCAATAAAGCAGCAATGGTCAAAGCAATGGACAAAGTGAATGTAATGGCAAAAGCGGACAAAATGATGTTCGGTTACAACCAAGACGGAGACGCCAATGGTGAGAGCCTGATGGAATGAGGTGTTTACGTGAGCGGTCATGCTAAGGAGCTGGTTGTAGGTTCTGTACGGTGAGGCGTTCAGTGTGTCGCTTCATCTATAAACCTCATTTCCAAATGCTATTTTAAAACCTAAAGGCCAAAGTAAGACGAATGTGATTTTCCTTAAAATTCAATGCTCAAATACAAAAGCATGTTACTTTAATAATAAAAAGCAAATACTCTAAAGATAAAAAGCCAGCCCAGAAAGAAATCACAAATTAAAAAATTTGAAAAGAGAGAAAAAAATACAGCTATAATTTCCTCCTTTTGAGAAAAAAAACTGCTAAAGACAATTTTTTAAATGGTGATGCATCCATCATTCGGGACTGATACAACCATTTGCAATTAAGGTATATGCCACAGGAACTGCTTTTCTTTTCTTTCCTTTTTAAAAATAAGTTTTTTAAGGCAAATTCTCTTGACTTAAGAATTCAATGTCTACAGGAGAGAACCACCCTGTGAGGGTTTATTTTTATGCTGCCTTAAACAACCCAGGCTCCATGAAACTGCCTGGATTATTCAATGCAATTAAATAATTGCAATCTCTTTTGTAACACCAAGAGGATGTATTTTTTTAAAAAACTCTTCAAGTAGATCTCAGTGAAAAAGTGGGTGCAAAACATTAAAAAGCAAAAGCGAAGTTCAAAACAACTTTTCAACTATGGTAAACCTCAAAAAATGCAGCTTTTCATAAAAGTATAAACGTTATTTTCCTCTCTGATCCTGCGTCTCCTGGGCTACAGAGAAAATGCCTTCTCACCTCCACCACTCCGGGTGTCCTGCTGCACGCCCTGGAGTAAAAAGGCCGAATCAGATAAAATCTGCAAAAGGATCTTTCACGCCCAGTTTTTTTTGTTCACCCTCTATTCTGTACCCTCTGAAGAAATGGAGAGCTTATTGATGAAGCAACTTTACATTTGTGGGGAGAGAAATGTTTTCAAAACACATGCAAAGAACAGTCTAAGTATTACTTTCGGTGAAAGTAAAGGCTGATGGAAATACACCAAAAACCTTACTTTTGTCTTTGAGCTTCTTTTTAAAATTTTCATCTGTGCAGGAAAACCCATTGAATTGGAAGTTAGCATACATTACAACAATAAGTAATATTTTAAAAGCAATATTATTATGTCCCCTTTTACCTAAAATAAAGAGACTCTAATCTGTTCTGAGACTCCAGAACTGGTGTTACTACATAACATGCTTTCTGTGAGGTTGAAAAGACCATCTACTGTTATCAGACCAGAAGAGTGGAATGTGAGTTACTACCTCTGCTATTTATTTCATCTTTCTGACCCTTGATTTCTTTATATTAAAATTGGGCCTACAGAGTACAAATGCTCCTTACACAGCAGGTGATGAATGGCCAGTTAACATGGCATTGGTTGGTTTTATTTCCATGACACTTCGACATTTGGCCCTCCTGGATGTGACTAACACACTGCCTTTGTCACCTTCAACTCACCACTCAAGTTCACTAACACTGAAATGGCGTAGCTTGTGCTCAGTGAGATGAGCCCACTGATCCTGCAGTCAGACGCTACGCTGGCATCAGCCTGCTGTGAAGTCCGTAAGCACTGGCTCTCAGTCCCTGCATTGATTTGACTGCGCACTGGTAACAGGCCATCCACAGACTGGAATCAGTCCCTGGGTCAGACTTTGTGGGGCACTGCTCTAACGTACCCTCTAGTCTACAAGTCCTATGATTCCATTTTTTCCTTCAAATCCTAAAATCATGACCTGTTTGTGAATGTCCTTTAAGAACATATAATTCTACATATGATAAATTACGGAAGGGGAAGAAAACCCCTTTTTCTCCATGTTTGACGATTTAAGTTTTCTGATGGATAGAGAACTGTGATATCTACAGGTATGTTAAGCCAGGGTATTCCAGAAAGACTAGAGGTAATCTAACCCCTCACTGAATAGTCAAGAATGATACCGATGTTCACATGACGATAAAAATGCACCAAAGCTATATTAAGTGCAATTAGTTCTGTGTGAAATGCATCAGAAGTTGCTTTTGCCACAGTATCATTTGTAATAACAAAGAAAGGTTAAATTTGACCTGGTGTTCTCAGATGTTACATGCATTCATATTTCCAAATATCATTTGGTAAGACACCCTTCATTCATGTTATTTTCTATCAATATAAGCTATATTATTAAAAATCATAGTCCACATAAACCTAGAACAAACCTCCTTAATTATAAAAACAATTTTTGGATAAACTCATGCACTTTTCCAAAAACAGATTTATCCTAATTTTGCATTCTAGAAGATGAAGGGCTCACTGCATGGTAAGAAATTTTCATGAATTTTTCCAAAGATACAGAGCCTTTCTTCTCTTCTCTCAAAAGGGCAGACAAGGTTTCTAAATCTTTTCAAGTTGTCTCAAGTTCAGCTTAGAGAAAAATAATCTTGGTACATAGTAATGGTTCCTCTAAATTCTTTTTGACACTCTCTTATATTATAATTTAGACAAGAACTGTCTCATGGTGATAATTTCCAATTAGCAATCTAAAATAACACCCAGCAGAGCACAGAGCTGCCCTTCTCTGGCAGCCGATGAAGACGTTTACAGATCCCCAAGCACAGGGAAGAGTCTCGAAGGATGTCCTGTGGTCCTGGGCCTAGATGGCTTCTGTTCTCTTGTTTTTGATGCTAAAATTGCACCTCAACTAACATCAGTTTCTTTTGTAGATCTTGGAGGATGTTAACAAAATAAGATAATCGGTGTTGACTCTATATGCCTACCTCGATCAAAAATTTCGATCCCTTCTCCTTTCATCTTGCAAAACAATTTTTCTTGTAGCCTTTTCACTTCCGATTCTTTCTCTTCCAATTGTTCTTTTAAAGATGCCAGTTCATCCTACAAATGATAAATTCATTTAAGAAGAGTTGATTATGCATAAAAGAGAGTATCAGAGGGTATGCTCTCAAATCAATAATTAGTTTTTGTGAATGCAACAAAAACTACAAGAATTTAGACGCAAACTTCGGAATTCAGACAGTGGCAATGATAAACAAGAAGCAAGACAATTACTAAAATCCAACTGATAATACTTATGGTATAATTATTACAAGTTCCTTTGTGACCAAATTAAAAAAGAAATCTTTTAAAGTGTAAGTAGGACTAAAGCAGGCCTCAGGTTTATGTTATTTTAAATAAAAAATCTGACCAAGTTAATCATATTAGATGTCCAATGTCATAAAAACAAAATAAGATGCAAATTGGGAAATACACATTAAGACTTGCTGGACATTCGTTCAGCCTCTGAAGGTTGCCTGGACAAGGCAGGGCTTCATTAGTGGGTAAGGTGGCAGGGGATGCACAACTTTCGTCAAAGCCTGTGACTAAAGAATTTATCCTTATTACTAAGAAAACAGAATAGAATTTTCTACAATAGAAAAAAATGGATTTTAAGTCTTCTTTAAAAAGAAACACAAAACTACACAACTATTACAGACCCTGCACCTAATGTTCTATCTGCTTACTAATGTTCTCACTTTCAGCTTCATTTGGGTAAAGAGCTTTAGCAAATTCAAGTTTTGCTGGCTATATTTAACAGAAAATTTTTCTATTTGATGCTTATGAATGCATCTTTATTTTTAATAATTCTATTTTACTTTGATTCTCTATAGATATTACACTTAGTACAATGAGAAGAAGTAGCTCTTCAATGAAACTAGAAAGTTCTAACTTGTAATTTATAGGAGGAGTGAGTACCAAGCACAAGAACGTTTCAGTGGCACTGGCAAGAAGTGCTACCCTGTCCTCACTGTGCTTATTCTAAGCAGTCATTTGCATCCACTGCTATAGTTAACCGCAAAATACGTTCACCTTCCAAACATCCCAAAGGAAGGAAGCAGGGTCTACTATCAGGATGAAACAATTCTTTCACAGGTGAACTTTCGCAATTACATTGCCAAGCCTGGATCTCGGACAGTCTAAGAGAGTGAGGCTTCATTTATATAAACAAATACTTTCATTTACCTATTTAGTATTTTTCACTAACTATTTCATATATTTCTGGAAACCAATGAAGGATCACGTTGTCCTGTGAATCAGTTTGCAACATTTTTAAAATAATAGGCGACACAGACACAATGAGCGCACACACTGCTGAGCACACACCATCACGGCAAAGCGACACAAGCCAGAAAGCAACAAGCCACGGACCCCCGTTCCCCGACGTCTACTGCACCTTCAGTGACTCCCACTTTTGCTCCGTCCGCTGCTTTTCATACTGCATCTGACCCACCTTGATTTTCATGCTAGAGAGTTTGGCCATTAAAGACTGGTAGAGAGACAGAGGGAAAGGCAACTACAGATAGAAAAAGATAAGCTAAATAACTGAGAAAACAGTATCAGTTTATAAAGGAGGTTAGGTAATTAAAAGAAATGACAGATTATGCTCTATCAGATTAGTTAAACCCTGGTGTCTATTCAGAATAGTGCTTAAGTCAAGAAAGTTTCCAGCTCAGAGAAACATTTCACACACTTGTAAAATGCCTTCTTTATCATATACTAAGTGGAAAACACATTGCACTTATGTTACTGATCACAGATAAGTAGTGGAGCCATTCACTTGAAAATTTTTGTCATTGAGGAAACTCACTTTGGTTGATTTCAGCTTTTTTTCATACTGAAGTCTCTCACTGTCCATTTCACTGACTCTTAACCTCAAATCATTGATCTCCTGGATGAGCCCCTGTTCAAAAAGAAACAAGGAAATACATTAGGAAATACAGAAATAGCAGCTTGGAAATCAAGTTAATGATCTTAAATCCTGGTTAAACTTGTGTAAGTTAAATCAGACCAATATATATACAGACATTTCTTCTTCAGAACTCCCTTTCCATTTATTTATTTATTTTTAATATTTTATTTATTTATTTTTAGAAAGGGGAAGAAAAGGAGAAATAGAGGAAGAGAAACATCAATGTGTGGTTGCCTCTCACACCCCCCCACTGGGGACCTGGCCCACAACTCTGGCATGTGCCCTGACTGGGAATCAAACTGGCGACACTTTGGTTCACGGCCGCCGCTCAATACACTGAGCTATACCAGCCAGGAGAACTATCTTTCCATTTAAAACAATACCTTAAATTCCTAATGCCTCTGTCCAAAATAATAGGATTATGAAAATAAAAGGTGACTAATTTTTATTAAGAAAGGTAGCTATTCACTCACTATCATTGATCATATATTTCTAGACTAAAATTCACTATATAAACTTTCTTTTAAGGTAAAGCAGAGAAACTTTCTCTAGTAAAATAACAAGCTTTAGGGTGTTTTCAGTGATATGGTAGATGTATACAAAATATTTTTATAATTTCTTCACTTGTCTATAAAATACAGATTGGATTGCTCATCAATCTAATCTGGGAGAATAAAATGAAATTTAAATCCTTGAAACCAAAGATTCTCAACCTAAGGATGGATAAGGGCCCTGTCATTTGAAAATATATTTAGTTTTGTAACATAATTTTATATTTGGAAAATAAAAGAGAGCAATCCTAATGTTTTCATAATAGAAACATAGACACTATTTCTACTGCCACCTTTTTAAAAATCTGATTTGCTTGTAAAATTAGCTAAATATTATGAGAAATAACTATGCACTTTTTTGTTCAGAGCCCAAAGAGAAGGAAAATTAAATGAGAGCACTAAATACCAACTTTGCCAAAGAAGGGCCCAAATACTCTGTGAAGGTGATTTTTTTTTTTTTACTGTGAGCCATGCAGGCCCTGGCAATGGTTAATGTGCTTCTGTTCACCTCTCTTACAAGACATTCATTCCTGAGCCACAGATTTGTGGATAATAAAACAGAATTATTCAAAAATGCCACTGAAAAATAGAACAATTCTATAAGAAATAAAGTTTTGTTAATGAGAAGTTACTCTAAATTTGTAAGCACAACCTCAGGAAGACTGGGAAAGGGACACCACAATGAAAAACACGTTCCAGAAAACTCACAACCTTTAAAATTGTTATTGTTTTACAGCGCTTCTTGTATTAAAAGTATTACCTAGAATTATTATATAATTACTTATTAATATCACCGATACAATTTTTTTGATAAGAGGGTATGTATTTTCTTTTATGAATGAAGTCAAGAACTATTTGACACCATTTAATAACATTTTAGTTGTGATTTCTTATAGACAAGTTCAAGAAAGTAATCAGTTTCTTACATTTATTATCTCCCATTTATTAATCATCTGTGCATAATATGAGATCTGGGTGATATTCCCTCATCAATCTAGTCTTTTTAACATATATTTTCCCACTTTCTATTGTTAAGAAACAGCTTTGAATTCCTGTTAGGTATTGTTGCATTTCACCACTTCCTTTGGAAATTTTGTAGCAGTTTTCAAAGGAGAAGAAACAATTGAAGAAAACAGAATTATAAATTGAGATCATTTTTTCTATTAAAAATAAACTACCTGATTATCCTTTGTGGCAACACTGTATATATGAATGTAAATCTCCAACCTAAAATAAACTATATCTTCTCATGGTAACGCAAGCTAGAAAATCCAAAACCAGCTCTTTAACATATAACTTTATGTTAAATGAAATATAAATTATTTCCAACTAATTTTTACCAGCAGTTCAGTCCTTTTTAAAAGAAAGAAAACCCGATTTGCATTACCTTTCCCATTTTGCTTCTAGGCAAAGGGTGGACTCCATTTCTGACATCTGTGCTCTTACCAGAAGGGGGCACTGTTGGATGATGCTAACCATCTTCCGTCAGCAGTTCCTGAGACAGACCACTCAGTCCTCCAAGGTTTGAAGAATTACCCCCCAAGTCTTTGGAAGTACCTATGCATCTTTCCTACTCAGTATATTATTATAACTTAATCTCAAGTAATCTAAAAATCTAAAACAAAGTTAAAGAATTCTGGATTCATGAAACAGCCAGGGGAACATTTTATTTTTATCAAGGGGACAATATTAGGAAAATGAACACATTCAATTCAACTTTAATTGGGAAAACTATTTTAATTACATTCGTATATAACAAAGTTTATCAACCATCCCATAATCTTCGGGTATAGTCACTCTACGTTTTACCGACAGTGTTAAATATTTGTCAGACAATTATCAGGGCCTGGATTTACTGGAAGTGATGACAAGAGCCCTGTGCGATGAATGAGAATTTGTGAGTGCAAAAATGCATGAAAATGCGGACAAACTCAAGAGATGTAAATATTGCTCTAGGGCCTTACAAAAAATCATAAAACATCTCCTTCAACTTAGTCCCAAAGTTTGGTTAACACTTCGTCTCCAAATCACCCACAGCCACGCAGGCTGAAACAACCCCTAAACTCTGTGTATATAATGTAGGAGGCCACCTCTTGATATCCAAATAGTGTACCTCTTCCCCTGTGCCAGGGTCAGCTCCGTGCCAGGTCATCCACCTGCTGACTGAATTCCACTCTTGTGTTATGAATGATGGCCAAGAGAAAATATTTTCAAAGACTGCACAAAAGCAAAAACTGTAAAGAAATTGGGTAATGCCTTAAGTTCTGAGAGCCCCAGTGTCCATCAGCTGAGACATGTGCTCACATAGGTGATGACAAAGGGCTTTATGATGAAAACACACACCAAGTAGGGGTGTCCTTTTGCTACTGAGAAAGTAATACCTGTAACAAGACTTTCCATTATAAGTTAGATGTTTGACATCATAGTTTTAAAAACAGCAAAGGGAAACGCCACTCAATTCAAACCTGAGAAGGGCTTTCAAACTGTGGGCAAAACATGTAATGTACCTCATATCATGACAGGTGTAGTCACCATGAAATACGTGTTTGAAATGCAGAAGGGCAAGGGAGAAGCACACGATGTCTACTCCTCTGTCTTCTTGGTACCCAGTTGCTAATCCAATATGACATCTCTCCACACCCCAATCAACAAAAAAAGAGAAGGAAGAAGAGATGGCCATAGTAGAGAAGGAATTCTGTAGCCTTTTATATTTCTTTTCAAATAAACTTCAAATGGATATGCTTTCCCTCCACAACAAAATAATAAGCAAATAAACAAATTAGAAGACTTGGATTAATAAAATGGAATAAACAAGTACATTTGGCCACAAAAATGGGTCCTTCGAGTTGTATAATCTACCCTAAATTTCATAAAAGAAATACCGAGCATTATTTAATTGGAATGATTTTTGTGTGAAACAGACCAGAAGTAGAAAGCCAAGTTGAAAGACCTCTAAAAATCTGTGATTTTCATGTTTCTATAACAAAAGCATTGCTCTCTATACATACTTAGAAATCTACTTGTTATATAGTAAATAATCAGTGTGCCTAGATAACAACTAAACAGTCAAATCATGCACTCAGACCCATTATTTCTACAATAAAGAAAACCAGTACAGATGGACAGATGGACAGATACACAGACAGAAGCTCCAAATGCTCCCACATCAAAACTACTTCTAAAGGCTAATGAAAGGATTCATATTTCATATCAAATGTCTCAAAATAAAAACTGCCATTAGCGTTCAGTGATTACAAAGTTAATGTAATTAAAGATTAGTCTCCAAAAGAAGCACAGATGAATGTGGGCACATAGTAATTAACTGCCTCCCCCACACCTCCTAGGAACTTCAGCTGCAGGAGTGTGTGTGACATCCACACATACACACCCGTGCATGTGCATGTGCGTGTAGATGTAGGAAAGGGTGTGGCTTACCTCTGCATCTCTGAACCTGTCCTCATAATCCAATCGGTCCTTCTCTACAGCCGTCAGTTTTAACTTCAAGTTCGATATCTCAGCCATCAGATCCAACTTCTGAGTTTCCAAGGACGTCCTACTCAGAAGCTCCTATTAGAATTTAAGAGATACATTCAAAAGTTGTTTTATGGTAAACGCACGTATAGATGTGTCTCCCTTATGATTGCAAACCCACAACTATCAAATAGAGGATGTGATGAAGACTGCCAACCAGACACAACTTAGTTGACCTTCACTGAGCAGAACTAAACATGTGTCTGCTTATTGGGGAGATGTATTATCTACATACCCACAGACATAAGTCTGATACCTTATGATAGCACTGACGACGGTGATGATGATGATGACGACATGTTTGCCATGTACCAGGCACTGTTCTGACATGTATTTGCTGGTTCAAGCCTTAAAACAACCTTATGAGGTAGTAACTCATAAGAATAACTCATGAATTATCCTTATTCGATGGCTAGGAAGCTGAGGAACAGGGAGGTTAAGAATTTGCCCAAAGTCACCAAGCACGGAAATGGCAGCACCGGGACTCAAACCCTGCTGGTCTTGCTCCAGTGTGCACTCCACCCACTGAGCAGTTCCTCTCATGTGAGCTCTGTGTGTGTGTGCAAGTTTTTCCCTAGTGAGGGTCATAAGTGGTATTTCTCTTTCTTCTTAGCCATATAAATATGCCCATGGTTGGGACTTAGGAAACCATCCGAAAGCATGAAGAAGAAAATTACCTGTTACCTTATTAATATCTTATTTCAGATTTAAATTAATGAGCACTTTCGTGTGCGTGTGTGTGTGTGTGTGTGTGTGTGTGTGTGAGACTTGGGACCCTGCTACTCTAGGTTTGCACTTAAAATATGCCAGTTTAAGTGAACCACGGAATTTACTGCTCCATCAGTGCAGACATGGTATATAAATGGAGCATCTCAAACGGATCGGCAGGAAAATCCCCACCCGGGGACCAGCTTCATACGTACCTGCTGCAGCATTTCCTCTGTGGCGTTCAGCTTCTCCCTGTGCTCTTCAAGACAGAACTCCAAATCTCGGATCTTTTCTCCCTGGGCCTCTACCTGGTCTGTTAGCACACTCACCTGTGTTGAGAGCAAAACACTACAATGGATTAGGAAGAATTTGGGTCCCACCGCAAACTTTTCTTCTCTAAATACAACAGCTGGAATGTGGGCATGACTCATGTAGGTGGGGAGGGGGAAGAACCTGAGAATGAGGAGACAGCAGCCCTTCCCACTCCTGTTTGTGTGCTGCTTGTTGGTCTGAGGGCTCCGACTCAGTATTTGAGAAAGTTAGGGCTGACTGGGGGTGCGCAACGCTTTGTAGATTAAAACCATCGCAACCATTTGTGAGAGGAAGCACGTACACAAATTACCTTTTTTTGTGGGTGGGGTGGGGGCAGAAAGTGGTATTAGAGATTAAGACAGGAGATGGAGTTAACATTTAGAGGAGTTATCAAGGACAATTCAAGTTTGATACTTCATAAGGAATAGAGAAAAGAATCCAGCGAGTTCAAATTCCGTGAGCTAGTTCATGATCACGTTATCCACAAATGTGTTCAAAGCCAGGGTGTAACCCAAAGGTCCACAAGAAGCCCCTGGGTTGGCCCTTCATCCTCAGTGCTCACTGCAGATCTCTGTGTTGCCCCACGATCACCACCAGCCTGGTGAACATACTTTATTTGGCTCAAAATAGCGAAGTAAAATATCTGTCAAGCATTTAAGACAACATGGATGGACCTAGAGGGCACTGTGCTGAGTGAGATAAGTCAGGCAGAGAAAGTGATCACCGTCTGATCGCACTTACGTGTGGCAAAAACAAAACAAACAGAAACAGACTCCCAGGTACAGAGAACAGACTGATGGCTGCCAGAGGGCAGGAGGCTAAGGGAGTGGGTGAAACCATGAAGGAAATTAGGAGGTAGAAATTTCCAGTTATGAGGCAAATAAACCAAGGAGATATAGTGCACAGCACAGAGAATACAGTCAGCAATATCATAACAACATTGTATGGTCAAAGAGTAGACATCGTGGTGATCACTGACTGCATAAGAAATATAAGCTTATGAACCGCTACCTTGTACACCTGAAACTAATATAATATTGTATCTCAACTATACTTTAATAAAATGCATATATGAAAATACATAGCAAGGGAAAAAATAACATTGTGAAGAAGAAACTCAAATTTAGCCTACAAATAGGACTCCACTGCTCACTTGATTTTATTTGGCCCATGGTATTATTTTTTAACTGAAACATTAAGTATATATATTCAGATTCAGAAGTACTTATTCAGATTTATGAGTACATATCATAAAATCAGAATTCCTGCTACATATTAAAAATCAGATCAGATGACACCGTGCCTGTCATCAGACTGGCCCTTGACGAGCTGAGGCCAATGAAGGGCTGCTCACCCTTGTTCTGCCGCAGTCCCCACCACTCCCTATTACACACAGATGGCCCACTGCACTTGTGTCTATTAGCAGTCTGGCTCCTACAAGCACCTGCATTTGCCATCCCAATTTAAAATGGTCTTTGGAAGTATGTCATGAAGAAAGAACAGCATTTGAAAATCACTTGCCTGAAGAACAAGGGATTCTTTATCATTTTCTAAACGTGCTAGCCTTTCTTGATACACATCTCCGTTCGCAGGTAGGTGTCCATTTGTCTGAAAAAGGAAGGGACATGGATAAGACTGAACTTCTTTGAGATAGAACTACTGTGGGTAAATAAAAATTGGCATCTGTTTTTAAACCAAGGAACCCGAATTGAACTTAGCACAGCTGTGATGGACTGCTATTGACAGAAAATACAAGAATACAACTGGGTTTATTAACCTCAAAATAGGTAAGATAGACATGTTAGGCATGTTTTCACCAACCAAACAAATTCTCATTGAACAGAAAACAATGACCCAGAAGGAACATCAGCCACTGATGCTCACTGACCGTGGGTACACATCCAGGGCGCGCAAAGCTTGGGGAGTGTGCGGTCGGCACGAAACCCCTCATTTCCCCCAAATGCTCGACGCCACTAATTCTGAGTGGAGATAGTGGGGATGAGCTGAGATGCCCTTTTGTTCCTCCCTGCTCCTACCAAAGACCCAGATCCAGGACTGCAGAGGCCTCCCTTAAAAGGGAGACAATAGGGGCAACTCACACCACACGCTTCCTCCTGTTTCAGTCGCCAAATCATGGGGTTAAATCTCCCCTTCCTCTTTGAAGCCTTCCTCTCCCCCCACCCCAAAAGCTTAAACTCTCAGTAGGCAGTGACTCCCCCCACAACACGGACTAGCCACACTCATTGGAGATTTATTGCTTTCCATCCTGAGTTCACAAATTCTTGTAAGTTTGCTTGTTCATGTAATATCCTCACGCCAAGCTCCTGGGCAGACCGTATAAACCGGAGTCATCCTGTGACCTGCACAGCATCCAGCCCAGCACCCTGCTTCCACTAGTGCTCCCTCTGTCTTCCCCTGCCTCCCAGCACCCCCCCCCCCCACTTTTCACCAGACTTGGGTACAGTCCCGCACAGTGCAAGTGCTAACTAAAGTACAGATTGGGGAAGTCAGTGAGATTTTATTCCTCAGTCATTTTCTATATGCAAGGCATCAAGGAGACACATGAAAAGGCTTACTGAGAGCAGACAGCATAGAAATGCCATTCTGAAATATAGTTAGTGTATGTGATATGCCCTTTGTTGTCTCATTTCAATAGTTCACAACCACATAATATGTAATCCCAATAGAATTTCCCGACTCCCCAATTTACATACAACAGAAATGAAAGCTGGCGGAGTACCAAGATTAGATGGAGCCATCCAGACTTCAATCAAAGAAGCAAATAACAACTTCAGATTTATTTATAAATCTATTCAGATTATTTACATTAAGGATGCAAATATAAACCATGCATCCTTACCAACCAGGTCACATCTGATGTGGCATCTATTATTTTTCCAGAATTAACTGGTATTGTTATCTTACCTTTCCAATTAATGCAGTTTCCAGTTTATATTCTGAGAATAACAAAAGTTGTATGTTGGAAAAAAAAAAACCACAAAAAGGAGCTTTAACAAAAAAGGGAACTTCAGGATGTTTCCCCTGAAAACTACACAACTGAATATATTTCCTATGAGGCCACAAAAAAGAAGTCATAAGCTAATTTAGTAAGTGTGCAATATATATTTATATATGTAAATATAATAGTAATTCATTTATTATGAATATAATAGTCAGTGTGCAATGTATATTTAGAACGGATAAAATTTTAACATCAGCCGCCTGACCACACACCTGCACCACTACCACAGTGTAATTCTGCCTGTTGTAAACTGAAGTGCCCAGAATTAAATTACAAGTATTACAAGGGGTCCGATGGAGTGGTCTGGAAGACTTCCATCCCTGGGGACCACCATGAAATGAAATTTATGTAACTTGGTGAGGACAGGTTTTTGGACAAAAGCCAGGATGCACAATGCATGTTCTCAATCTAAGCAAGTGCCGAGACTGGCCCAGCTTTCAATTCCTCGTTTTGATTAAGGATATTAGCAGGCACCTGCTTTTAAATCCCCATGGAAGGAACATTTTATAAACAAATACATTTCATTAAGTAGGAGAAAAAGGTTTCTGCTCAGTGAGGATACAAAGCAGAAGTCATCTTTCTTCTGCCTGAAGTAAGTTGGAGCAAGATTATTAGTGTTTCAGTAGCAAGTTCCACAAGTGTTTCATGAAGCTCCAGCATGTGCTACAGAAATACAAGATGCTCCCAAACCAGTGCCACAAAGGGGTCCTAAGAGAATTACAAACACTACAGCTTGATGCACAAGGGTAATACGTTTCTCAGCAGTGCATTCATATTTACAAGTGCTCGTGATGCTGGGTATTTTAATTTTTAAGGAATTTTTATTTATTGATTTGAGAGAGAGAGCACAGGTGCACATGTGAGTGAGACACACTGATGGCTGTCGCACTTATTCACAGATTCACTGGCTGGTTCTTGCGTGTGCTCTTACCGGGGTCAAACTCGCAACCTGGGAGTATCAGGATGATGCTCTAACCAGCTGAGCCACTGAGAGTTGCTATAGGGACATAAAGCCAAAGTGAAGAGCTCCCACAGGAGTAGTTACATACTCTTAAAGCACCGTGTTGACTTATTCTAGCAGGTGAAGGTCTAATCTATTCACATCCTTACTGATATTTCTGCCAACACAAAAACGTGAGAGAGAGGTCAATTCCATTAGGCAGAGAGCCTGCCGCCTCCATTCTTCTTCCAGCTCCTGTGCTCTGCCTACCAGAGCACTCACGACTCCCCGAACACAGAACGCTCTCACACACACTGACTGCATTCCTTCTGCAGGGACTGTATCCCCGCCCTTCCTCCCTTCCTCCTCACTCCTGAAACTCGACCTCGGTGGGGCCCGGTGTGTGAATCCTCCCTTGAATTTCATGTTCCCTCAGGTGCCCGTTACAGTATCCAGACCAACCTATAGGACAGCAGGCGTCACCCTGAATACACTCTTTAAAAAGTGCGTAAGCATTTAACAGCCGGGGCCAATGTTCTAAGCGGTCTTCGTAGATGATCTCTGCTATTCCTCACCACCCCATCCGGCACACATGTCTCACCAGGGTGGCGGGCTGACTCCGAATCCTACACTCCGAACTACTGTGCTGTGCCGCAAGGTTTAGCTTTGATAATCTAGTTTAGAAGTCAATTCTATGTAGTTAGTTTTATTATGAATATATTCTTTCATTCCATTTGTTATTTACTGATGTCTTTTAAAAAATCTTATTTTCTTTTTTACTTTCCAATTACAGTTTATATTCAGTATTCTCTATTGGTTTCAGACATACAGCCTAACGGTTAGAAAATCATGTACTTTACATCAATACACTCTTGATTTCATGATTCTAGTCTTTAAAATTTGGCGTCAAGAAAGTAAAAGTAGCCCTAGTTCGTGTGGTTCAGTGGATTGAGTGCCGGCCTGCAAACCAAAGGGTCACTGGTTTGGTTCCTAGTCAGGGCACATGCCTGAGTTACAGGCCGGGTCCTCAGTAGGAGGCATGCGACAGGCAACCGCACATTGATGTTTCTCTCCCTCTCTTTCTCCCTCCCATTCCCTCTCTCTACAAATAAATAAAATCCTTAACAAAAAAAAGTAAAACACAGTCCACCAAAGCCCCTTTAATTAACTGTCCCCTCTAGCTACCAAAAGAAATACCTAACACAAACATCGTCCGCAGCGTACAGACATCTACTGCCCACTCCCCACTGCACACCACACTGCACTAGGGCGAGACTGAGGGAAGGCCCGAGTCCTTCAACCATCAATGCCGCAGTCACGTCTCATCAGGTCTGGCACTGCAGTCCAGCACCTCACATCCTACTGTCCAGAGTCAGGGACCACCATACCAATGATGGTGAAAATGAAGCCACCAGGCAGAGGCACTGCTCCGCTCCCCTGTGCTCTTGCATGAGGATGGAATCGGGGCGGCGAGCATCTCTCCTTGGGCTGTAAATAATTATCTCGGGGAAACACCGCGGCCATTCGGGGCCAGAGGAGCACCCTCCCAAACACCCCCTGTCCCTACCTACGTGCTACCGCACCTTTGACTCTGGCTCAGCCTTGCCAACAGCCCACTTGTCTCTCCCTCCTCCATTTCTCCTGCAGCTCCAAAGAGGAAGTAAGATGCCATGGCAATAGGGACAGCTCTTCAGGAAGCCCTCTATTTTTTCAAAGATATCATCTCTGCTCAAAAAGAAAAACCAAAGGAGAAATAAATCTCACACACACTTCATTACTCCCAAAAAGCTCGAACACAACCTTCTCCTAGAAAAGACATCAGTTTATTCAATGTCAGAAAGAGCACCAAAGGCTGCAACTCAGAATAAAGCCTGAATATAAGTCTGGACTCTCCAAGATTAGAGATGTGGTTGAAATCAGACTATGGTTTTTATTTCTGGGTTTTGTTTTTCTGAGTTTAAATGTTCTCTGTGATCATTTTCCAGAAATAGATGGCCTCTTCTTCACTAAACAGCCCACTGGGGCAAAAACAAGTGCCCTGGGGCAAGAAACCTCACAGCAGGAGGCCAGCCCCTGAGAGCACCACTCCCCAAAAGTAACTGTTTACATCTGCAGGGCTGGCCAGAGAAGCGAAGGGCAAGTGCTTTCACCTGCCAGTCTCCTGAGACACATCCAGAGAGTGCTTCCCTTGGAGAATGTGGGTATCTGTGGCCCAGGTATCACTGCCAAGATGCAGGGGCTATCCTGGTACACAGGTAACACAGGCGCACACACGCCTCCTTACTGGGCATCCAAGGCCAATACGTCCAGGGTGAGTTAGACAGATTTCCTTAGGGTTTCCTAAGAGTTTCTTTTACACACCTTGATTAGGGAAGACGAGCTTGAACTCCTTCTCACCCATTTTCATGCCCACCCCCATCCCCCAAAGTTGCCCCGGGGAGAGGGGTACATGTTGAGACTACATTATCCTCGTCACAGGTACACTCCAAAGTCCCCTGAGCTACAGAACAACAGAGAACAGAAGGTCCCTAGAAGCTAAAGCCCAGCGTCTCTGGTAGCTGCGTGCCACAGCCATCCAGTCACCTATTTATTCACGAACGTGTCCAGTATTTACTGAAGGCCGGCTCTGCGACAGGATGCTGATGCGGCAACGGAAGCTCTTCAACTTTGGGGAGTGTTAGCAGGAGAAGAAAAATGCTCTTTCTCACCACTGTTTTTTTCACCACTTATCCTTTCTTAACTCACTTTCCTAAAAGAAGAGACATCTCTTTCTGTTGAATACAAACAAACGCCAGTGGCCTGGATCTCACTGAAAGCGCCTCTCCCACTCAGCACACTGCGCTGGCCTCTCTCCGTTGAGAACCTGCTCGCTCGGTCCGTTTGTTCTCCTGGCCTCAGCACACTTTTCATGGACGTCTCCCAGAAGCCGAAGGGGAAACAGCTTCTACTCTAGCCAGGATGTCTCAGTGAGACACTGCGTCACTGGGACCATTGTGACCACACACGGGATCCAATCTGAAGATGGACCTGGCTCGCCAAGGCCTCAGAAAACGCTCCCCCGAGGCACACACGCGAAGGCAAGCTGGCCAGAGAACAGTGGGGACGAGAGGCCGGCGGGCCTGGAACGCAGCACATGGCCGTGAGTCAGGGAATGCGGAGGACGGCCGGCGCCCTGGAGAGAACATGCCCCGCGTTTGAACTCTTTAGGAGTATTTTCGTTTTGGCAAAAACTTTAAAAAAAAGGTATACTTTGAATAAGACTTATTTTTAATAGAGAAATAAGACAGCATTATCGTGGTGATTTAACTCTCCTTATCTCACAGGCTATGATGCCTGACTTGGGGTTATCACCATCAGCAGTCTCACTTGCTCTGCCAAAAGCTCTTCTCCGTAATCTCTGCAGACTTTGAGATCACCTCATACTTACAAATGCCAATAATCAGATGCTCTGGTGTTTCATGACCTGAGGAAGGTCACAAGCCTCTCGGCTTCATCTACTGGAAAAATAACATGAGGGCAACTCACCTAAAGCAAGCAAAAATCATTTGCGTGGCTCAAACAACCATATTTTTCTGTTCGCCCTCTTAGACTTGGAGTTTGCTAAAGCACTGTTAGCATCAGTCTTAAACGCCTGAATCTTAAAAAAATAGTCATTCATTTCTGGAAGGCTACAGCCATGGCGACCCTATTAAAACAAATTCACTCTCGTAGATTTAACCCCCCACCACTGTAACAGGCAACTAGTGTTACTACTTTCTTCTCTCTTATCCGGCTTCTGACCCCATAAAACCATTAAACACACAGCAGACGTTAGGACCGAAGGGGTAACCTGCATCCTGCAGGACCCAGGCACCTCCCTGGCTCAGGCAAAATAATAATTAGAGCTGCAAATGCCCAGTTGCACTAATGAGAAAATTAGTATCAGTCTTAAGTAGTGTACTCTTAAGTTGGTCCTCGTTAAACACGAAAAATTTTAATTATGCACCTAGTATGATTAATAAGTTTTTCTAAAATATGGTGGATGCGACCGAACTGGCGTGGTTCTGTGGGTTGGGCGATGTCCAACAGAGCAAAAGGTTGCCAGTTCGATTCCCAGTTGGGGCGCATGCATGGGTTGTGGGCCAGGTCCCTGGTTGGGGGCCTGAGAGGTGGTCGATCCACATTTCTCTTGCACATCCATGTTTCTCCCCCTCTGTCTCCCTCCCTTCCTCTCTCTCTAAAAATAAATAAGTAAAATCTTTAAAATATTGTGGACACCTCTTCATAGTCTGAAAGATGCCTGCATTCTTTTGTCAAAAAAGGAAACTATGCGTGAGTAATGTATAACCTAGCTCTGAGGCAAAACTCTCTGATGCTTGATGTTTACATTCCAGTGGGAGAGACAGAAAATAAATGATGTAACATGGCAAATTCACAGCACACTAGAGAGTGCTAACTGCTAAGAAAAAATAAAGCAGGGAGATGTAGTAAAAAGAATGAACAGGTAAAATTTTAGGTAGGAATGGCATCTCTGAGAGCCCATCTTTTAAGCAAATATCAGAAGACTATGAGAAAACTAACCACACAGATATCTGGAGAAAGAGCTTTCTAGGCAGTGGGAACAGCCAGTGCAAAGAACCTGAGGCCAGTTTGCCCAGCATGTTTGAGAGTCGGTGAGAACGTGTGAGAATCAGCGAGGAAGCTAATGTGCCCGGAGTGAAGTGAAAGAGGGGAAGGACAATGAGATGTGAAGTCAAAACACGATGAGGAATAATTCCTACAGGGCCCTGCACTCCAGAGTGGCATCCGGCATTCACTCTGAGTGAGACGTGACTATCACTGGGACGTTGCTGAAAAAGGAGTGGACATAATCTGATGTATATTCAGATTATCATCACCGCTTTTACTCCTTTGCAGAAACAGTTGAACAGAACAGATGGACCATGTGTTAGCAGAAATGCTTTTGGACACAAGATTTTGTTTTGTGCAATGCTTGTTTTTAGACACAAATTTTAAAAACCCAACCACAGGTAGCCTTAAGCTACGATGCCATTGACAACCTTTGGATGTGACCTAGGAATAGGTTCTACCAGTAAAAAATCCCTTTTCCATTAGGGGATGGATGATCAGAAATATGGAGTAAAGAAGGGGTGAAATAGAAAATTGAAACAGCCTAAGGAATATGCTAGAAAATGTTTTATTGTACAGCATGAAGCAATGCTCAAAAAAAATCAGCAAACACGATTACTTGAATCTCTAGAGAAGAAACTTACAATGCAAATGTATAGTATAACAATAAGGTATGGTGTATAACAAAAAATAAAATATTTCCAACTGTCGAGTTTGTGTAGATGCACCACCATTAAAAAACGATGAAAAATAGAGAGACACGTTGGCTGGGGACATAAGAAGGCTCAGCATGGGGCTGGCTGGACACACCAGTATTTCTGTCACGTCCAGTGGGCACATTTTAGCCACAGGTTGGGGTATTAAGGCTCCCAAAGCAAAGAGCTTCCACTTCTATCACAGATGCAAGTCTAGGTCTTAATTCTTTCATATAATGTTCATTAGCTTTTATACAAACACGGTTAACTCATAAGCTTATTAATGTATATTCCTAAAAGTTCAGTATTCTTTACCTACTTACAAAATAATAATACCTTTCCTATCTTTCCCCTTGAATATGTGTTTGTGATCATCTTTAGATTTTATGTGTTTGACACACAGGAAAACCACAGTATTTGCCATGTGACGGATGTCTAGAAAGAGGCCTCATTGTCCAGTGAATTCAAATGCGTGAAGCCCAAGGACACAACCTCACTCACACACTGGAATTGAAATGACTGCCACGCACCACTAGGTGGCACTTCATAGCAAGTACTGCTGCTACAAACCTCTGTTGCTTTTTGAGAGTCTGCCCACTTAGAACAACCATCAGGTCCTTTTACAGTAAATGGCCCAATCGTACTGAGAGCATCTATTATACTCATGGTTCTTTCTCTTCTGTGACTATCTGTTCAAAGCCACAGTAGGTCATTCGGTCACAATCTAAAAGCTAGTCCACTTTTATAAGAATAATCAGGGGACTTATTAAGTCAAAGGGGAATTTGGATCTCTTAAGGGCGAACTTGTCCTGTATTTCTTTTCTTGTTCCAACTGGCTATTCTATGTTTGAAATTTTACAAATTTTCACAGCATGGGATCTGTAAAATGAAGAAATGCACCCTGTGTGGTGATTGCTGGGAGGAAGGGGTATAAGGAGACTAAAAGGCAATGACAAAAATATATATATAATAAAGGTTCAATTTCAAAAAAATAAAAAGAAGTCTACCATGTGACTCTGAAGCCACCCGATGAGCGTTTCCGCCGTCGAATCTGGGATCTGGCATCTCAGACCTTCCTTCTCGTCAGTCTCCATCACCTCTAACAGTCCCCGCAGGTCTTCCACCAGGTGCAGCGCTCGGAAGCTCCCCATGAACGGGGAGGTGGGGGACTGGCAATCGAAAATCCCATTGGGATATTCCAGGGCCTTAGAACCTGGGATTGAAAAACATCACAGAGAACGTAACAGGGCTTACATTAGATAACGCACCGAGGCTGAGGGTGGCAACCAAGTCCAGTCACAGGCAACCAAGTCCAGTCGACCAAAACGAAAACCGGGGAGAAGATCACTCGATTGTGCAGATCTCTCCAAGGCACAGTTACCAGGCACAAAAATAAACACACATAACTGGTGGGGAATCTCGGTGTCCACCAGCTCACTGGCAGGCCACCATCTGCGTGGTACGGTAAGAGTGCGGTGGGCTTCGGTGTTAGACGTGCCAGCAGGAAGGGACACGAAGGATCAGTCCGGGTGGCTAGGCATTACAAAAACTCAAACTTTAGGGGCCATAAAGTCTGTAATTTTCCTATCGATAAAGTTGCACACTGAGGTGGAAATTGCATAGCACAATTTCAAAGGTAAGAGGGCCAGCTCCTAGGTGACCTGCTGGAGTTTAATCTCTGAAGAAGTTCAATGAATTACCTGTGTACATTTTTTAAAGTAGTATAGCAGTTTCTTTTTTGTTTTAATCTTTATTTTTCTCCGCCAGACAAAATGCTTATTGATTTTTAGAGAGAAGAGAAGGGAGGGTGAGAAACATTGATCAGTTGCCTCTCGTACGCACCCTGACCAGGAACCAAACCTGCTACCTAGGTATGTGCCCTGACTGGGAATTGAACATGTGACCTTTCAGTTTAGAGGATGATGCTCCAACCAACTGAGCCACACTGGCTGGGGCTACATGTGAGCATTTGTGTATGAATGTGGGTGCAAGTGTGTATAAACATTTCCTCCATGAAAATAAAACGGCAATAAATACATATCTACCAACAACTGACTCTAAAAAACAAAACAAATGAACAAGCAGAACAGAAAAAGACACAGACTACGTTTTGAAGGTTGCCAGAATGAAGGGGGCCTAGGAGCTGGGTAAAAAAGGTGAAAGGATTAAGTACAAACTGGTAGTTACTTAGCAGTCATGGGGATGTAAAGTACAACACAGGAAATATAGTCAACAATATTCTAATAACTGTGTACAGTGCCAGGTGGCTACTAGAATTATCAGGGTATCAGTTTGTAAATTGTATAAAAGTCTGACCACTAAGCTATACACCTGAAACTAATATAAAATAATATTAAATGTCAACTGTAATTTTTTAAAAATTTTTTAAAGAAAAACTCTGGCCCTGACCAGGTGGCCTGGTTGGTTAGATCACCGTCCTGTGCACCAGAAGGATGTAGGTTTGATCCCTGGTCAGGGCACATACACATGTTACAGGTTTAACCCCAGGTCAGGAGGCGACAAATTGATGTTTCTCTCACGTGGAGGTTTTTTTCTCTCTGCCCCCTCCCCTTCCCCTCTCTCTAAAAATCAACAGGCATGTCCTTGGGTGAGAATTTAAAATAGATATATTCTGGAAGAAAATGGAAACGAGGGTCAGAGGTAACACCAGGGGCAACCTAAAGGTATTGGAGGAGGCCAACACACGGAAATAAGCAAGTGGAAAGGCAAGGTAACAACTGTGCGAACAAGCCAAGGCAGCAGAATGAGCAGCACAATCCCACCCGCGGAGGACGCAGGTTTTACCTGCTATAATACCATCCATCTGCTCCAGCGCCGCAGCCAGCATGTCACTGGCATCACTCATCATCTTGTTATTTGTCAAGGGCAAATTCCAACCGGGATCTGAAAAAATAATGATGTTATCGCTGCATCCTTTAAATGACACATGCTTCTTGGCAGGTTTGATAACTCAACTTCAGAGTACAACTCCACCTGGCAGGCAAATATGGAGAACTACTGAAGTAGGAGAGCTGAATTAACTGAATCATTTTACAAGCCGTAGCCAATCGTCACTCACTGTACAGCAAGATCGCATGCTGTACCCGGGTCAGTTAATACAATGAGTAAGATTCAGTTCTTGCACTTGGGGTGTTTAAAATCCAGGAGCACGCTTCCCATGCTGCACTGTGCAGAGCGCCAGCCTCTGGGAAGAGCATCAGGGATGGCCCACCCAGTATCTACTCTCTCAACTTAGCCTTTTCTCTGTATAAGGATTACCATAAGACATATCTAAAAGAATGGTTATCACTGTGTGTGTGTGTGTGTGCATATGAGGACTGTCTAGAAAAAGTCCAGCCATTGTTAATATAATGAGAATGGTTTGCATGACATCAGTGTAACCTGGCAGCCAAGGACAGTGGACTGGAATGTGCATGTGTGAACAGTGACGACTTCACTGTAGTAGTCAGTGGGGTTGGTAGGCACGTTGACTGAGCATGTGCACTGTGTGGGTGCAGTATTCAAAATGACTGAGTGAGTATAACGATGAATCTACACCATTTTTTTGCATTAAAATTGAACATTCTTCCAGGGAACCTATTTGGATGACTCAGAAGGTCACAGCTATGGGCAACTGGTGATTGGCAGCTTCATCACGAGAACACACCCACTCATGCACCACATGTTGTACAGAATCTTTTTGGGGAAACATCAGGTCACCCAGGTGACTCAGCCCCGCTACAGCCGAGATTTGACACCATGTGAGTTCTGGCTTTTCCCAGAACTAAAATTACCTTTAAAAGGAAAGAGATTTCAGACCATTCGATGAAATTCAGGAAAATATAAGGGGACAATGGATGGTGACTGGGAGAACTGCCTGAGGTCCCAAGGTGCCTACTCCGAAGGGGACTGAGGTGTCATTGTCCTATGTACAATGTCTCTTATATCTTGTATCTTCCTTAATAAATGTCTCTATTTTTCATATTACATAGCTGGATACCTTCTGGTGTACTAAACACACACAAATCTACTGCTACTTTTTAATGTAACAATAGTTACTATGTATTGAGTGCCTATAGTGTTCCCCACACATTTAGTGAAATTATCCATAACCCTTAATCATGACAACAACCCTATAAAATGGATAAATTCATCTCCATTTTACAAATGACATCAAAGATGTTTGTTGATTTTTTGCGAGGAAACATGGCAAGTAAATATACCAAGATCTGATAGCTTTGTGCTGAACTTATCATAATCTACTCAACTCTTTTACCCATTAAAAAATACACCAAATTTACCCTACCAAGAAATTTGGTCATAGAAGAAAAAAGTCCAACAGTGGTCTTCAATATAATTGATGCATTTCCAGTACTAGACTGTGTACCCAGATAAATCTCCCAAGAGGCCTAAATAAAGCCTCTGCTACTTTGCAGACCCTCAGTGCCATAAATGCCTGGGAAACCCAGGGCGCGCTGTCAGACAGAAACCTTTGCCCTTTGTTTCCAAGCAGCCAGAACTCACTCATCACTTTATTTTTACAAATATGTTTACAGTTCTGATAAACAGCATCTTGGATCAGTTCTTTATATACATTCATCTTAATTATATACCATTTAATCACTGTGAAATATTACTTTGAGTTTACAGTTCTTACAGATTTCATCTAAGAACGTCCCAGAACTTGACTCACTTCCGAAGGTATAAAATACCACTCCTTTGTCATGTGGAGATACTGCCACACAAGAACACCCGAGGCGTGCGTTTACAGTTACCCAGAAATCAGGGGGTTCACAAGCCAGGCTGTGAACCTAGGTACTTCTCAAACAATTTGCTTGCACATTGAGCTAGTCCAGAGAAGTAGGGCATAAAATTAATAATCCCACTCCAGGCTGGAAAACTTAAAATGTGAAAATTGAGAACATGAAGGATTAAGCCGAACAGCACACAGCCCTTTACTTTCCTATAATTAAATAGCTTGCATTCCCTTTCATTTTAAAAGCTGCACTTCAAAGAGCCCCAGATACTGTGAGGGACACAGGTCAGGCCCAGCCGGGAACATGGGAAATGCTAATAAAACAAAGTAACGCTTATACCGAAAAACCTCTCGGAGCCTCACTGCACCAGAGGAACAGGCTCTCCTCTGACTATGTTTGTGTGGAGTGTGAACACTCCCAGGTATGACAGGCTGCTCTCCACACCTTCTCTGTCCTGTTCAGAGCCTTTCACATGTGACAGCTCGGGGATGCGAGGATCCAGGCCACGCGTTCAAAGTAACGAAGAACCGATTTTTCAAAAAATTCCTAATTCAGGGACCATTCTTTTGTTTAACGTCATAAAACTATGATGACAGTGATTCACTGTCATAAAAGCTTATGCATGCTTACTCGTGATCTCTATACTTATCATATAACACCCTGCATGTAACACTAAGGAGACACAGTAAAAACAGTAAACATGTATTTAACATGGAAAAGGTGGTAGGTGCTAAGGGCTAAAAATGGAGCCCAATAAGGGGGTCAAGAGTTTGGAGGGGCTTTCAAATTAAATAGGGTGGTCACGGAGAATGACAGATTCAAAGGTCAAGATCTCTTTAATAAATTAAAAGTAGTTAAATATAGGTGGTTGAGTTCTGTGATATTCCAAATTAGAAATCAATAGAAATGAGAGGGGTGATACCACTAACAGACCTATAACACTTTTAACCAACAAAAATACAAAGAGATGTTTACTATATCAAGGAATTAAGACAGTGTGATACCTTCTTATATCTTGTCAGTCGGCAAAAAAAAAAAAAAAAAAATCTAACACCAGGAAGCATGGGAGAGGATGTAGATTCATAGAATCTCTTCTAGAATGGTGGTGGGAGTGTAAAATGGGCTAAAATTAAACACTCACATTCACTTTCAATCTAATGATATTTACTCCCAGGTATATAACCATGAGCAATACACAAATATTCATGGCAGGACTCTTCACAGGGACAAAAATGTAGAAATACCCCAATGCCCAGCAACATGAGAAGAGATGAACAAACGGATACTCTCGCACAGGGGAACCACAGTCAACTGTCGAAACTAAAGCAACATATGGACAGTATGGACAAATCTATGCAATAGAATCGCAAATTAAAAAGTCTCTGATAAATTCAGCAAGACTTTTATAAAGTTAAAATTAATTAAATATATGTATGGAATACACATAGACTCAATATAAGCACATGCAAATAAGAAAGAGAATGATAAGATGAACTTCAAGATGATGGCCACCTCAAGCCAGGGACATAAGGGAACAGACTGAAGACAAGACACATAGGAACATGTGGTTACTGTCCAGTTTTCGAGTCAGGTCATAGACTCAAAAGTAGTTATTATAGGATTAAAAATGACAAAATGGGGGTTCTACTTCTGATACTGGTGGAACAGACTTTCATGAACAAACTGTCCCACAAATGGCAATACAAAACATGGGGTAAAATATAAAAACAATTTTGAAAGAATTAGAGAGCCACAAAAAAGCAGACAGAAACTGGAGGCAATCTGACTCGTGGGATTCACATTTACACATCTTTTCACCTGTGGGCACTTCTTAGACCACATGGCCCGGTGCAGAATGGCTAGGGGTCATGCAGAAAGTCCTCATCTTATTGGTTCAAAGGATGGAAGCGGGTAACACCCTTACATTACATACAAAGATGTGTAATACTAACGCATGGTGTAGGGTGGTAAGTTAACGATATACCGGGTGCGCCAGAGCAAGGGTTGCTCGCGTGAGGTTGGTAGGGTGCGTGAATGACTCACACGAGATGGACAGCAATCTGAGCATTTCATCTAAAATATCATATGGTGTGCTTGAGTGTGATATCATTGTGTTACAGAATTACATGCTTATAATCTTGTCATAAAAGATTTCATAATAAAAGAGGGACGTTATCTGTGCTAGGCTCTGTGTAATGTAAACCATAAAAAACTATGAAATAACAGAATATAAGTAAAAAGCCAATTAGGCTGATAAAAGAGAATACTAATAAAATCCTCAATCGATTCAACAGAAGGTGATAAAGGCGGAACCCGGGACAGATGGGAGAGAAAGAAATCAAATGGCAAGACAGTAGATTTCCTTTCAACCCTATTTCCATCCAAGGGAAACTTCTTCAGCCAAAGTTAGCGAACCTTAATGTAAACTATGGACTGTGGCTGACGATGAGGCGGCAACGGTGGTGTGTTGGCTGCACCCGGCTGCTCCCACAGTGGTGTGGGCTGCCTGGGACGAGGGGGAGGCCGCCATAAAGAGGAAGGGCCGTGCGGGAACTTGGCACTTGCCATTCAATTTGCTGTGGACCTAAAATTGCTCTAAAAAAATGTGTGTGTGTGTGTGGAGGGGGGGCGGAGTACTGATACATCAACATGGATAAAACCTGAAAATACTCAGTGAAAGAAGCCCATTACAAAATACTCTATTATAAGGGGGGGGGGGGCCCAAAACCCCAGAATTTATTTATAAAAAATTGTGTATTTATTGTTACATGTTTAAACTTCAGTCACCTTCAAAGTACTCTCCACTTGATGCAATACGCCCAGCAAGGTTTTACCACTGCTCTGACCAGTTTTTAAACTTGTCGATTTTGATGCCTTTCAGTGCTTCCGCTGTTTTTTGCTTTACCTCTTCTATAGCAGCAAAACATTTCCCTTTAAGGACTTTTTTCATCCAGGGAAACAAAGAAAAAAAGTCACTCAGGGCAAGATCAGGTGAATAGGTAGGGTGGGGCATGGGGGTCATGGTGTTTTTTGGTCAAAAACTGCTGAACACTCAGCACAGTGTGGGCAGGTGTGCTCGTAAATCACCCGTCATGAAATGAGTAAATGCACTAAAAGAGTCTTCAAAAAAAATTCACTTAGGCCAGA